CCACGTACTCTAGAAAAGAAATATTCCAATAATAGCTTAACTTTTATGCAACCGAAACAATCCTATCAATGTAGACCCAGACTATTACTCATTTTAGAGAAAACTTACCAAATTCGTCCTCGTCATTTTCCACTATTCCATCGTCTTCGTCCTTTTCCTCGAGATCACGCGAGAAATCTTCAATAAAATATGGTGAGTAGAAGGTTTAATTCAAAACCTTTTACCCTTTAAACCCTTACGTCAATATATATATATATATATTTGTGCGTATATTTTCCATATTATTTCCTATACATTTCCTAAGCTGCTGACAAGGAGAATTTTTGTAACAATTGGAAGCTTCTCCAGTTGTTGATCATTTCCCTCATGACCTTAATGTGTGATTGAGGGGTGATATTGTAAGGAGATGTTAGATGCTAGTCATTAAAATTGGCAGTTAGATCTTGGGTTCGGAGCCTCCCGGGATCAGGTAAATTTTGTTGTAACACAGCTAAAATCCTCGGACTCCCCACCCCCCCAAGGATAAATAATGATTGGTTTCTTAGGACGTGAGAGCTTCCTGTGTCCCTATACAAACTTAGGCAACATAACAATTTTTATTTTGAATAAAAAAAAAAACATAAATGAGCAAAAACATAACCAAATTTTTTTACCTGCTACATAGCATTCCATGACACACACAGCGACGACAGCAAACGCCAAAACTACAGGGCTCTTCATTCTTAGCTTAAAATGAAACGGAAAAATTCATATGGAAGAGATATACATCAGTGATAATACAGTATCACCAGCAAAAAAAAGCTATTCACAAGAATTAGCATATGCATAGATTGGATTCGGATGAATACCCTCTTGACGTTGTACCTCTGTAGAGAAGATTGTAAGCTGCTTTATGCAGTCTAGCCAAAGTTCGAATTCTCCGTAAGAAGTTGTAAACTATCTCAAATTACCTTCCTAGGTGGAGGGTTACTTAAAATTATCGCACTCTACTATGGGGCAGCGTGTGACCCCTCGAATGAAAGCTTGTGAGGAGAATTTTTATGCGGTATCCGGTATATTTATACGAACGGGCTAACGATCATTTACAAGAGTCCGAAATCAATGTCAGAATATAAAATACGGGTGGTCGTAGGACACAATGAAAACTTACTTACGATTGGCGGCTTTCGCTTTGGAAACACGTAAAGGTTTGTCCAATCACCTTTCATGCAACGGAGCTTTAAAAAGCTGCAGAGAAGTTGGTGTTGCAAACCTGTAAAACAGTTACATTGATGGAAAAGACCTTGACATTAAGTTTGAACTCAATCCGATCAATAGAAATATCGCTGAGATAATTGCATCGAATATCGCTCGGTCCTTGAAAACTATTACATGATTACAATACATTGCATGTACAGCCATTAACTGGGTGAAATTAGCAAACCGTACATTCTTCTATCACGTGAAGTTGCTTACCTACACCGGCTGCGAAATACTGCACCTCTTACTCTTTGTTATCGCGGGGACAAAATTAAATTCGGCTTACAGTCGTCATTCGACTTTCGACGGCAATCGCGAAACAATTTCAACCAGCTGAGTCTAACGTTGTCTTCTTCAATTCCAAGAGAGGTTAAATTTGAGAAATTTAGATATAAACCCTTTGCTAACCGAAAAAAAGGGAGTAAAGCGGTTATTAAGAAGAAATACGTTGCATAGCGCAGCTGTAATTTCAGGGTGAAATTGAAGGTTGAAAATTTTCTTTATATAGGGTCGAACCAAAGTTAGTTGAATTTAAATTAGACGGCGAAACTGAAGTGTTGAAGCTGGTTTCAGGCGATTGAAACTGATACATTATCATTTGATTTCAGAAACTTTGACCAGTCTGGATAAATAGTAAGAGATTTTCACTCTAAAGAGCAGTTGAAAATTATTTCAGAGCTTTAAAACTCACTTTCTGTATTTCTATAAACTGAACAATGGCAAAAAGAATAGTTGCAGAGAGCTGAACTGAATAATAATTAAGAAAAATATATAACAATTAAATCTTTTAAATTAAAGCTCAAATCGACCCTGCTATGTCGAATAACTTTAGTAGTCAACTAATTTGGTTCTGTTTGAATGTCAAATTTAAAAAAAAAAACTGGCCTAATTTGTAAATTAAAAACTCGCAGTTTGGATTAATACGATTCAGATAGGTTAATTTAAAGCACATAGCCTTAAAGCAAGCTTTGATAATAATTTATATTACAAAGACAAACACACTTAAACCGTTTAGCTACTCTGCAGGAAGTTTATTGAGTGAAAAGAGATGGAAAAGACACGAGAGTTTGCTCTATCATGTCTTTTTGAAAGAATTTCTTCATATAAGCAAACATTAATGGGTCTTGGTAAGGGCTCGGGTAATAGATTTGTGGAGGGCGTATTCTTATGCGCTTAATAACGACTAAAGGGATCTTTAACTCAAAGCAAAGTTCACTAAAATCACAGCAAGGCAGAGAAATTACGTCTCACATACTCGAACCGAGCGATTTTCAATGTAATGATCTCAGCGTTATCTCTACTGATCGCAGTGATTATATTCTGATTGTTTCTTCGCATGACAAAAATCCTATTACTTGTTGAAAGACCAGTCGAAAGTAAAAAGGTAAAGACAATCACACAATTCAACATTACGTCAATAGTCTCCGTGTAATTACAAGGTGTGATCATGAATTACATTTAATAAGGTCGTGGTAGCCAAGAGATTCATCACATTATTGACAGCGATCTTTACGATCAAAGATATCGCTAACTTCCATCGAAATCGCTTACTTCCACCGAGTTTTGACTGTCTCAGGGAATTCCTTAGTCAAAATAACTTTATCATTTCTATATGCATTTACAGAAATACCTATTTTTTTCAAATGCATCTGAATTTGTAACGACGTGTCGCAATCGAATCAATTTACGTGAAACACTTTTGACTATTTTGGGTAATCTGTTGTCAATTGAATTAGATTTAAAAATCATATGCATCGCTATTCAAAGTTAGCACTACAACAAATAATTACTTGGTTTATCGCAATCCCTGTGAGGTGCGAAAGAAAAGAATCTAACATTGATTTCGGTCTATTGCAAATGATTGTTAGCACGTTCATAGTTAGCTGTAGACTTCCGGTTTAGTATTCGGATTTTCAGCCGTCTATATCCCGCTTTCACAAAATCGCGTACGTTACCATAATGTGACTTTATATTTCATTTCTTCTAAGCCTTAAAACAATAGAAATGCAAAATACCTAGAAACAGATTTGGGCGCACTATTACAAACCAGTTATCGATGCTGTCGAGCAGACAAAATTGAAAGAGGCCATTAATTTTAAACAATGAAATCGTGAAGAAAAAAATTAAAGGGATTTTAGTAATCTCGGGTTGTGGTAATTCTGGACTAGTCAATAAAGAATCAATGCAAATTAGGAACAAAGATTTTATTTTTCATAAGTCCATTGGCGCAAGCCGTTCCGGACTTCTACACTAGTTTTTTCAAAATGACCGCCAAAAAATTAAAGAACCTCTCACCTCGTTCTCGGTTCATCTGATATCCAAAAAAATAAAAAAAAGATTCGTGACAGATGCGAAGGCTCGCTGCCGAGGGGTCTGGTTATTGAAAAACACAGTTTGCAATTTAAACCTCATGAACCAAATCATTGCAGGGCTAAGCTCATCAAATTATTTTATTCTTTTCGGCTTTCCAAACTTAAGATCTAACTACCAATTTTAATGACTAGCATCTAATTCTCCTCACAATATAACCCCTCAATCACACATTAAGGTCATGAGAATTTAAAGGAAACGATTAAAAACTGGAGAAGCTCTCAATTGTTACACAAATTCTCCTTGTCAGCAGCTTACGAAATGTATAGGGAATAGTATGGAAAAAATATATATATATATATAGGTAGAAACTAATCCCTCTCCTACCCTCAGTCCGCACAGCTATCCATATAAGTTTGACTTTTGTGCAGATCATGCAAAAAAAGGTGTCAGATCATTCGGGGTAGCCAAATTCTTACACCTCCTTCCTAACATCAGCAGTGCACTGATGAGGCCCAGAAGGTCGAAACAATACTGCAGTTACATGTATATATATATATATTCACTCATCAGGAGATTTTCTGAGAGGGCAACCACGAAACAGGTCTGTAGGGATGGACTTGTAGTTTTATTTCTCTTTTTCCTCCTACAATATATACATTGCTCTACTCCTATGTATTGAGCACTGTTTTACGAAAGTCAAAATTTTACACTTTATAAATAAATTATGTATATATTGGTTTAAGGGTTTAAGGGGTGAAAAGTTTTGAATTTAACCTTCGACTCTCTGTACTTTATTAAAGATTTCTCGCGTGACCCCGAGGAAAAGGACGAAGACGATGGAATAGTGGAAAATGACGAGAACCATCTTGGTAAATTTTCTCTGAAAACTTTTAAGAGAGTGAAAGTTTGGGTCTAAACTGCATTTTATGTGCTGTGTTGATGTCACCAAGAACATACCTGCAGTGCAAGGAAAAGAATATAGCTGGGGAAGGTAAAATCTTGACATTTCATTTCATTAGCATTCGATAACTTGCACATGCACAGTGCTTACTCACGAGTAACTTTCGTCTCTTGCAAACAGATAACATCAACTTCGAGGGAATCTAAAATGACTTTCAACGATCTTTCACGTCTAGAGGCACGCATTCCGTTGGTATTCCAAGTTAAAATCTTCATTTCGCACGAGTGCTCTTACCTTCCAAGAACGTTTCATCGAAAGACGGTCGAGATTTTTTTAACGCGCGCTGGGTTAACTGTACCTTTGTTCAGCGGTATTTAAAATCAACAAGAAGTGAACTGTATATTGCCCGTAAAATCTCCCATTTGATGTCTTTTTCAGTGGGAGAGGGGTGGGTGGGGTGTTGGATACCATAAATTTCGAGAGAGTTTGAACATTAAATAACTACAACTTCGATTTGAATTTTAATAAATTATCTTTATTTTTGACAAATTACTTTACATGTCCACACCAGAGACATTGTTTTCATAAAATTATAATACAGGTCGCATATGTGTTTCTGTCAATCTCTTAATCGAATTTAATAGTTTGTTCTTAACCGATGCATCAACACTTTTAAATTATTTCATTAATTATTAATTAAATATCGGAAAACACTCGTGAAAGCATCACAACTATAATCTTGTAAATTAGCTAACAATATAATTCAACATGTTAAATTATTGATGACGATGATGAAAATGATGATGATGACGATGAACGGTGATAGGTAGGTCGTTAGAGGAGTACTGACCTCTAATAAAGCCCTTAGTGATAGCTTAACAATATGATAATGACGGTGAGATTTTAAGGTTAAATACTGATCTCTAGTGTAGCTACTCCGGAACTCAACTTTAATTTGTAATAAAAACAAAAGTGAGATTACAGCAGAGACCCGCTGACTGGAACTCCCAAAAGAAACAAAGAATGGTTCGCGTCTGCGGGAGTTTGAGTCAGCTGATTGTAAATTACTGAAAAACGGGATCAAGGGAAATCGGATCATCTTCGAGTTAATGGGGGTTCGAGTTAAACGAGTTAAAAAATAAATCAACGTTTACCCGGCAGGTATTTGAATCTATAATGAGCTATTAATAGACGAAAACGTCTTTTCAAGGGACACTTTGTATTACCCTTTTTAAGTCCCTTGAATGGAGGTTCCACTACACAAACTTTGTATTTGTTTCCTTCATTGAAAAGGAACCTTTAATTATGGAACATCTTTTTTTTTTTTTGTTTCGACGATGTCCCCATAGTGGAAGTTCCACTGCATTTCATTTAATTTAAAAGAAAGAGTTAGTTAGTGTTCAAGATGCTTACAAATACTTGAAATAAAGCGTCTTTACTAAAAGACGATCGACTTTTCAACAAGAAAACAACGAACATCACTTAATTACAAACAATTACGGCCATAATGCCAGTTTTAGCCTTGATCTTGCTATCGAGAATATAAATTGCCAAGTTAAAAATTTTAGACTTTTTCAACTTTAATAACAAGAGTTAAATAAATGGGTCAAAATTCGTAGGCTATGAAATTAAAATACAATTCCTGTCTCTTTTTTAATCCATTCTCCAGTCAACCATCAAGAAAACAGCTTTACACTTCACTCTTATTCCAAGGATGCGTAAGGACAACATCAGGCGAATCCTCGTCAAATGTGATCGGTGTAACTTGAAAATGACTGACAAGCTCTTGCATTGAATGGAAACTCATTTCATCGTCCATGGTACCAAAGTTTGTTACCAGGATAGCATCGCTGGCCTTGTCGTACTTAAATGGAAGGTGTCTAAAAGAAGGTCCGCCCTCTGGTGCACGCACTGTCAAAATAAACTCCTTGCTACTGGCTCCCTCACGCACAAGGAAGGTTCCTGGTTGTACCAAAGAAGACAGCATTTCTTCTGCCTCTAGTGTAGTGATCTTCTCGTAGAAATACGGCTCGTCGCACACCTAGAAAATGAATGAAAATATTAATTGGAGCGCAGTCGATTTTGTTTGCAATGTAGTCATGCAACCTCATAGAAAAAGAGCGTTTGTTGCTGATGTTGTTGTACTCTGTGAAGATACCACGACCTTGAGCTTTCTGTGGCTTACACCCTTAATTAGGGAATAGTGAATCGCTCCATCAAATTGAAAAGGGAGCGTCAATTTTTTGATAAAGCGTTCTAAAAATATATTCCACAATGCGTTCCCATGCGTGCTAAAAGGAAAAGTAAAGCAATAATGCAATAAAGACGATCGATTATAGAGAAAGATCGATGTTTTTCGTCTCGTCAGGATACCCAAGAGAATCGAATCAACCTCATTCCTTCGAGTTCCGCACTCTATTGCTCTCACGCTGAGCCACAAAGACTCTCTCTTGTGAGCTAGGCCAGTACAAGGTTCAAATCTGACACGCATCCTGCCCATTGGCTAAGAGCAACGATGTCAAATGTGTCAAACGCGTAAATAGAACGAGTAAAATTGTAAATTTTTAAGCTTGTCTCGTCACGATCGGTTACTGGTACCATAAATACTAACCATAGATATCTTCCTGCTTTTTGATTTGCCAAGATCGACCTGGACCATGAATTGCTGCCCCTCTTCATCGGACATGTCGCAGTTTTCTTCGTACGCGACATTAAGGTAATGCTTCTCTGAACGGGAGAGGTCTTTTACGGCTCGATCACAGCCGAGAATGGACTCCTGGCTGTCCTTGCGAGCCATTGCAGCCCTTTGTTGAAGCGAGTAGTGAAAGTTCTGTGGCTTCTTTCGTCTGAAGGGAAGATGAATATCACTTACTTTTGATGATAAATTAAAAATCGAAGAGGAGAGACAAATATACTTTTCCTAGATTACCGGCTTGGAAGAGAAGGTCAGAGATATGATACCTCTCCTTTATGTTTGATGGGTTTGCAGAATGGCTGTGAATAACTGACACAAGTCGAAAGCAAAACGGGCCAACTCGAAATCGTTGATCAACGGTTAAATCGTTCGGACAAAAATTTTGAAGAAAATAAGATAGTCAAACTTTCAATTATTCTTTAAAGCTAAGAACAATTGCCGTTAACAGAAATAGCCTTTAATTTCAACGGGCCATGCTATTGAGAACGGCCTGTTAAATTGACGAATCAAAATCCATCCCCATCCCCACGGCCCCTCACCCCACCCCTGTTCAAGTGGCGCAATTATTCTCTTCCGGCAAATACAGATCAAATCCTTTGAGATGCAAATCGATTGCCATTGCGGAATTCGAAACTATCGGTTCAGATACAACAGACTCATGGGGTATCACTTAATTACCTTTTGGTGATAACTATTCCAGCTGCAATTACTGCAATGATAAGGACTAGCAGTCCAATGGTTAGACCGACGATCAAACCAACTTTAGACGGGGGATCAGCTGCAAAATAAAGCCCATTTTAACATTGGTTAGTGCGAGTAAATACCTTTCCAAAATGAGTTCTAGAACTGCGTTATTAAATTGCAGTCCAACAAATATTGTTTTCCAAAATTGGATCTTGATGGCTATCCCTAGATGAATTAGAAATTGCATTCAGCCTACCAGCGAACAACCTAGTCCCCAGGATTTTCTCGGTCGTTTTAAAAAAGGTGATCCGCTGCCATTTTCAAAATCGACCGCGGAACCCAAAGGGAAGAAGTTGATAAGAAATATTATATTGACTAAGCTTTTAATGTTATATCATTCAATAATCGGCATATTTACCTTTAGAAGGTTCCGTGTAGCCTAAAAAAGATAAAGGAACACATTCAATTAGTTATCAAGGAAGTGAAATCTTTACGTACAAGATTACGTTATGATGTGATCAAAAATTTGTGGGAAGAACTTCGTGGGAGATCGCTTGGTTTTCAGGGGGAGCGGATGAGGGGATCAGTCGTCGCCAACAGAGTGTAAAGGGGCACTATAGAAAATCTGTTGGGATCTTAAGAATATTAGAGAGCCTTATGTAGATTTTATTCGCGACACAATCAATTTCCTCCGACCCCCTCCCTGCAGGTGACACCTGATGACCAGACCCTTACCGCTTGTCGCCTGTAATAATCACTCAAAAAATTGACGTCAAAATAAATTATGCTATGTTCAACAGGAAGCGGATTCTACCTGCTCAAGGGACAAACCCGAAATGATTTCGCACAGCTTAGTTCCACAGTGTTTCAAAGCTCAACAGCTGCGAGACATATGCAATCACTGGGGGAAGGGGTTTGGGTGTGAGTCACATAGTTTTCAGGGGAAACGGAAGGGGTACTAGCCGTCGTCAACAAAGCATAAAGGGGGGACTAAATAAGGTAAATTTTATTATGACAACCAAAATCCTCCCCCTGTTCCTCTCATTGAGCACGAACAGAATAATGATACTCACTAGCTGTAGCTTTTTCAATTTTAAAACCATTTTGTTCCAACTCCTCCATTTTCCCACTGTTTATCATATCGATCACTTCTGCGGAGTTTAAATCGTTACCAGACTCGTCGCGGGCAAAGAGCTCAAGCTTGACTCTATAGAAAGGAAACAGGTTATCAAGGGTTAGTGTTTTCCTCTTGACTTTTTTAATTTTTAATTTTTACTTTGATTTGTGTTGCTGTTAAAATTGCAGAAGGCTCATCGTATCTTTCACGAGACGTCACGTCACATCAGCGTGACCATGGGTGTGGCCAAACAAAGTGTCTACGGGTGAATGTAAATTTAAACACCCTCGCCCCCCTTATTCTTCTCGAAATGTCAGATTTTCAGAAATGGTAAATGATTCACTGGTTATCATGCGACGCAACATAGCACTTTTTTAATTGAAGACAAGCAATGATCCTCAATTTAAGCAATTGCAGAAAAAAAGCCTAAAAGACAAATTCAGGCTTCGTCGGGATTCGGATCCGTGTCACACTTTGGGAGCGGGCACATTTGGAGGACTTTTCTTTCCTATGGGGGAATATGATCATAATTTTGATTAAAACGTTATGGATTTCTTAATTCTAAAACTGTTGGATAAGATGTTGCGCTTGCGAGGGGAATTACATGTTCATCACTTCTTCGAGTCAGCGGTTAATAAATTGGAAGGATATGACACGAGTCTTCTATTTTAAAAGAATAACCTTGCAAAAGTACTGATAAAACGCGACTTACTCCATTGGTGCCATGGGCGGGGTGGTTGTCGTTGGAATCGGCGTCTTCATCGAATCACTCCCGCCACAAGATGTCGAACGACCAGCATCAAATAACAAACCACAAACAAACCGCTGAGCGCTTTGCGGCTCAAGTGGCTTCATTTCCGGTGGACACAGTAGCACAAAATGAACCTTGCCTTCTTGGTATTTAGTGACACGGACAGAGCATGCGCCATAGTCCAATTCAACACCAGCCCTACGGAGTCGCCTGGCATTCACACTCTTTTGAGGAAAAATAAAGAAATAGATGGAGATGAATAAATGAGTTAGGATTGAAAATATATCAGGAAGTTTCCTGTAAACTCAATGATAAAAATCAATGTTTAACATGCGGATGATAAGGAAATGGAGAAAGACCAGTTTTTGAATCCAACGGCGTCTCAACCCATAGAACTATAAAGTTATATGCAAGGGGCAAGGCACATTTTATCGAAAAGTTAACTTTCCCCCCTTACAGATGTGATCACGAATGAGATAAGAAACAAGTATTTATATTTTACACGAGAAAAATTGAATGATAAATTTATTTGTTTCTTCTCTTTCATTTTTTATTCTTTTGAAATTTATTTCATTGCTTATCACTTTATGGCAATTCAACATTGATTATGAGTAATCTATTGAGGTATTAGTTTTGTCTAACTTCGATCTGTGATGGCTCCAGAAAAACTCTCAGGACCAATAGAGAGCAAGACCTAGAACGAGACCTGGGCAGTGGCGTTTGTTTATGCTTCAACCAATTACCTTATTTTTAGTCTGAGCTCTAATTGGTTTTCTGCGGGATTTTTCTTTGATCTGATAGGCCGATTACTTTGGTTTTGCTGTTACGTCAATCGATCGAAGTACCCTCCAACTCACCTCATTCACGTTGTTCGGTGCAGACCGGATAATATTCTCGACTTGTTTTTCAAGATCAAATAGACTTCCTCGTTGACCCACGGATAACACCATAACCATTTCCAGCTCCTTGTCAACGCACTGATATCCATGAAGAGCGCGTTCAGACAACGCACAGATCTTGGAGCCATTACACGGATTACCTTCACATGCTTTCTTTTCCAGTTCACAGTTTTTGCCTGTCTTCGCCGATGTACAGTTGCAGTTGTACGAGCCAGCTGTATTTGTGCATGCACCATTAGAAAAGCAAGGATCTAAACGAGACAGACAAAAATTTCATTCAGTATTCTACTTATACATGGCTTTCCAAAAGTCCTCCAATTGTAAATGAAACTAAGTCGAGCTTTTCACATCTCGAAAATTCAGTTGTTTACATATTCTCCAAACTGCTCTCTATTCGTCACCTATAGTAATGACAAGGAGAGTTTGTTATAGAATAAGAGACTCTTGTGTGGGTGGTCATTTCCTGTACTCTCATAACCATGATGTTTGATTCAGGGATGTTGTTGTAAGGAGAAATTAGATGCCAGTCACTCTTATAGGTCAAGGTGTAAATTTATCAAAGTTTATCGTTTTCAGTCGCTAACAAAACCATTGCCATGTGGCTCTGCTGTAATGTTTAGAATTAAATACTTAAGAGTCGAAAGCAGGCAAAAGAAAAGCCCTTAAATTCCAGAATTTAGCTAGTGTGACAGATTACGACTATCAATTTCACCTTGACTACAACGAGACTTCATTTATTGGTTCCCAAGCTTACCTCCACTGCATTCATCAACATCCAGCTCACAGTGGTCCCCAGTCCATCCCGGTCTACATAAACAGTCATACTGAGGGCCTTGTTTGGAGCAGACGGCGCCATTTTTACACGGGTTGGAATTACATGGATGCTCTTCACACCGGTTGGGCGCTGAAAAGCCGACTACTTCCACATTGGCCTTCAAAGCCTTGCTAAGGAGTTGCTGGAAATACAAAGCAACGAAGTTAGATGAGGCAGAACTGAATCCTGAGATCAATAGAATCAATTTTCAAGTGAATCACGGCTTACTTGAAACGCGTTCTTGTCGAACATCTGGCAGGTTCCTTCTTGGTTCGGATTTGTCACCGAGAGTGTCATAGAGACAAGTGCCTTCTTACCTGAAAATGGATCAAAAATGCAACAAAGCTACCTTTCAGAAAAAAAAAATAATGCCTTATATCGCACCCCTCATTCATTATTCGGTAAGCGGCTGGAAGTGTTGGAAATTCTCCTGGATGAGCCGATAGTCCCTCAAACGTTACCCTCCCCTCCCTCAACCATTTTAATCTTCACGTAAGGCTTAGGCAGGCGCAGTTACACAAACTAGGAACATTTTTTTACTTCAGGTACTCACCAAACACCTTGAGCGTTGCCCAGCCAGACCTCACTTTACCAGCCACGTTCCTAGCTTCGCAGAAATAACGCGCCTCATCTTGCGCAAGCGCATCCTTAAGCACGAGTTCCGGCTTGAATGGATCAATCTCGTTAGTTTCCACCATTGGGATATTGTCCTTGTACCATTGAATTTCAGGTAGAGGATCTCCAGTGGCACTACACGCTAGTGTCACTGTACCACCCAGCTCTACACTGCTGTTTTGTGGATGCACCACAATCTTTGGTGGGTCTATTGATCACAGAAAAATGAATTAGTTGAGATGGCATGGTCTGCTTACGCATTGCAGACCTACTTTATTGGAGCGTTCGTTCAGCGGTCGCCTCAGTTGTTCCTAAATGACAATTAGGTTAGTTGATCATTGTTTGATCAATTAACTCTGGTAATGACGTGAAAACATTATTTTTTAGGACTACCTGTACCTCAACAGCCAGACTGTATGATTAACTGATGATTGACTGACTGACCGACTGAGTATATGACTGACTGACAAACAGACTGACAGATAGACAGACAGAAAGACAATCAGGCTAACAAACAAACGTACAGATAGAAAGACAGTCAGGCTGACAGACAGACAGACAGTTAGACGGACCAACAGACAGACTGACTGAATGAGTTACAGGCTAGCTGACCGACCAACTGATTGGGTAACTGACTTGATTGACCCACTAACTTACTGAAAGTGAGCAAACTTAACTCGTCTTACCACACTGACTGACTAATTGAAAATGAACAAGAGAAAACCATCTTACCATTCACTGTCATATAAGCAACACTGGACTGTATCAAGCCAGCTGAGCTCGTGGCCAGGCACGAGTAGCTGCCTTCGTCCTCCTCGGTCACATGTTCAATGACGTAGTCGCCAAGATCATCCCAGTTTGACACAAATCGACCGTCCTTCATCCAGCGGTACTGGGGAAGAGTGTTACCCTTTGCTGAGCATTTCATCTATAGAAACAGTTGCACGGTAAACATTAAAACAAGTAAACAAAGAAACATGAGTCTCTAGGGAAGCAAGAACCAGACTTTTATGGAAGCCTCCCTATCGATCGTTTGATGACATTGGAAGCTCCAAACAGCATTAATATCTACATGACCATGGAACTTTTTAAAAATCCAATTTACGTTGGAATGATTTTCTGAAACGAGCATCGAAAGCGGTATTCTTGGAAAGCACAGATTTTATTCCACTACGTCCTGTGATTGGTTAAAAAAACTCGCATCTCTTTCTCAACCAATCAGTTGCAATGTTAATATCTGTCGCGGCGAGTGAATAACTCACTTTTCCCGCGCTCAATGCGTTAACTTCTCATCGACTCTCAAATAAATTTACTTTTGTTCTGGTCCGTCGGCTTTCCTAACCTTTACCCACCTCTACTGACCATGTTTTCATCTGTTTGCATCTAAAACCGCTGGTAAGTATATTCAAGATAACTGAAAACTAAGTTTAAAACCTCTTAAAATAATAAGAGTTTGAAAATATATTTACTTGATGTTTATCGCCCACAAGACGCTTTGCTGTCGTTGGAATCTCAACAAAATTACACAAAGTGTCTGCCTGTATCATACCATCCTCGGTGACTTTAAAAACCATAGCTTGACAAGTGATCCTGTGAGAGAAGACAAGTGAAGTTAAGGCAACGACAGCTTACAGGCTAAAAAGCTCGTTATGTCGGAGGGTATCCCGGTTTCAGTTGCTTAGGGGAAGATTTTTCCACATTTAAAATTAATACTTAAAGAAAAATAATAAAACGATTAGGACAACTTATCGTACCTTGAGGTAACAAGGACATCAATAGAGTTGTTAAGACTCGGGGTACCCATATCATACGCCTGTACCGTCACTTTCCACTTTCTCTCCACCTATAATTGAAAGTAGAGGAGGTTGTGTCGCGTTAAGTTCACATGTCGAGTAAATATTTAGACCAATGACAAGATCATACTTTTTGTCAAAATTGCAATGGAATATAAAACAGTTTTGCTATTTTGACAAATTTACTCGGCAGTTCTTAATTCAGAGGCTTCCCTTCTTTGATCGTACCTGAAATATAACCGTAGAGGTCGTAGTGGTAGTAGTAGTAATAGTAATAGTAGTAATGGTTAGTTGTTAGTTTTAGTAGTAGTAGAAGTATGTGTTTCATTTGTTACAAGAGGTTGAGTGGATTGATTTTATGCTTTTATGTGTAACGTCCAAGAGGAAGATCTGTGCAAAACATCTTCACTCCGGCGGCCATACGTTCCGTTGTAACATAGCTTTGAGATACCTGAACTCACCTCAATCTGTTGTAAAAGTCGGAATTTCACGACTCCGCCTGAATCAAGATCATCATCAATCGCCTGAACTCGGCCAATATTCGTATCATTGAGGCTGCTGAGGGGGAATTCATAGTTGGGGCGAGCAAAGCGAGGAGCGTTGTCATTTTGATCGGTCACAATAAGGTTGACGATGGCTGTAGCAGCTAATCTGTCGTCTGGTCCTCCTTCGGCTGTTGGAAATCAAAGAAAAAATAATATCTATGAGAGGTTGCTCTTGAAGTCTGCATCCACAGTTTGGCTGTGAAAACACCGGTATTGAAAAGTTGTTTCGTTATTGATCCACGCATAAGTGTTCGATAGCAATCCAACTAAAGGGATCTGGTCGATATCATTAATGGTGATAGGACCCATTGGAGTACTGATTGGAGTCTACAGTCGTACAAGTGATTCCCAAAATCGGGCGACAGCGAAGCGAGAGATTGTTTCTGTTTAGTTCCGCGTTAATCACAGAAAATTGGATTACACGAAATTCTGTTACCAATTCATCAAACTATGGCAAAGTCAGAAAACAAAACACAAAGAGGTTGAAGATATTCAGAGATACAGAAAGCAGCTGTAAAAAATTCAAATTTGACTCTGAACCCTCTTTGGCCTTTCCTTAAACAAGGTTTTCATTGGTATTTCTTACCCGTGTTTCCATCGCCGGTGTTGTTGATACCACAGTCGGCACGACCTGCCCGGACCACCAATTGGAAAGTAGGTGAAACTTCTCGGTCAACTCCGGCGGAGCTAACTCTTACGAATCCTGAGACAGAGAAAAGGTTGCTTTAAAGGTAATTGAGGTATAAAAAGCCAATTTTTTACAGCTAACGAAAATCACGCAGTAAACGGATGATAAACAAGATGTCAGCAGTTCTAGCCATCACCATTGCATAGTGCTTTTTCAGCAGGGGAATTATGTTTTTAATATTTGCTACTTTCGAAGTTCACAGCTGAATAACCAGTGTGATACCTAAATTCTCGCACAGTCTCTAATTTTCAGTAGTCCTGAATCAGCAATTTACCATCGTTAGACTTCATCTAATAATCACGTTTCATTTAAATCTACTTCAACTCATAGGACACAGCGGTAAAACGTCTGCGTATATACGTACGTTAGATGACTAGCTGGCGTGCTTTCAGGCTGTCAGAAACAAGTTTTCTCACACGAGTTACAAACAACCTCTCAGGCTAGTAAATTACGGTGTTGTAAAAGCGTACAACTTTTTTGGCAAAACTCAAAACAGAATGGTAAATCTGCAGTATACCGTACTTGAATAAGCTCTGGGTTCCATTTCCATACTTTTTTTCCCCTATTATGAAATTTCTATTAACACGTCAATTTTCTTTCACTTATTTTGCGAAAAGGGGGTTGTTTCTTGTTTCCCTCTGAAATTTTGCAAGGGAAACTCGTGCGTTGCCTGCCAGAACTGATTCCTTCGCGCATGCCTAACGTTTGACCACTGTGTTACTTGACTGAACGTTTACAGGACATGAATTATTTCTATCTTATCATAAATTACCATACCATGTCTATCGATTGTAAAAGCCCCTCCTTCATTTCCTTGCCAAATTGCATACAACATCTTTTCATTATCCTTCACATCTGCATCAGTAGCCGTCACTTGAACAATGCTCTGATTGAATGGCAAATTTTCACTAATTGTCACATTATATTCTGCGGGTACAAACTTCGGACAGTTGTCATCCACATCAAGGACAGTGATCGTGACGTCAGCAGATGAGGATAAGCGCGGGTCTCCGTGATCGCTTACACTAATTTTCAACTTGTAAAGATCTTGCTTTTCGCGATCGAGTGATTTCAACGCAGTAATCTCCCCACTGGTAGAGTCGATGGCGAAAAGATCCGCGTAGACCTTTGAAGTGAAGTTAAACATCAGTTGGGCGTTCTCTCCGACGTCGGCATCCGTAGCCATAACGTGCATGACGGAAGTTCCGACGGGAGAGTTCTCTAAGACCGCGCCTTGAAGAGAGGAAGTATTGAAGAGTGGTGCATTATCGTTTACATCAGTCACTGTGATCAGCAGTTGTACAGAGGAGCTCTGTTTTGGATCACCAGAATCACTTGCTGTGATAGTTAATGTGTGAGAATCTTGCTTCTCCCGATCAACTTTTCCAGAAACTGTCACAACACCTGAAAGAAAGTCCAAACAAAATTGGAGTAAACCCTTTAGCCCCTGAAAGTAACTAGCATCTTAGCATCTAATTCCTCCCTACAAAATCATCCCTGAATCACACATTAAAAATAAAGGAGATGTTCACCAACTAAAGAAACATTCACTCACCAGTTCCATTTCCGATATCAAAAGTACCATCGTCATTTCCGGCCGTGATGCGGTAACTAACAATTCCGTTGAGCCCGGCGTCTTTATCCACAGCGTGCATCTCTTCTACTACAGTCCCGGATGAAACATCTTCGGTCACATTCACCATGTACGCTGATTGATCAAATATGGGTGCGTTGTCATTCACATCTGATAGAGTCACGTGAACAATGAGTGACATGGAATGCAATGGATTGTTTCCACGATCGGTAGCTCGACAAATAAGGGCGTAGTTTGAAATATTTTCTCTGTCGAGTTTCATATTGGTTGTTATAATACCAGTATTTGGAGAAATAACAAAAGCTGACATTTCATTTCCTGAAATTATGCTGTAAGATATTTCAGCATTGCTTCCAGAGTCTAAGTCGGTGGCGGTAATTTTTTTAACAAAGGTAGAGACAGGTGATGCTTCAGAAATAACAGCGGTTACTGAGCTACTGTTGAAAACGGGAGGATTGTCATTTGTATCAGTTACATTAACTATAACTGATGTAAAACCGTGACGAGATGGTTTTCCTCCGTCCGTTGCCTTGACAGTGATGACATAGCTGTCAATCATTTCTCTGTCCAGCACGTCAGCGGTTGAAATTAGACCAGAGGTTAAGTCTATACTAAAAGCATCACTATGGTTACCAGGTTGAACAGATTCGATGGAGTAAGTGAGCTGACCGAACGGATCGACATCAGAAGCAATGACTATCACTACGGAGGTAACCACAGCAGAATTTTCTGCGACGTTTGCGTAGTACATCGGCCGTGGGAACGAAGGATCATTATCGTTTTCATTAACCACTTCAATGATCACGCTGACAAAGGTCGTGAACTTGGAATCCGAAGCAGAAACAGTTAAGTTAAATGCCGGTGTTTTTTCAAAATCCAGTTGCGCAGTGGTGCTGATGATGCCGGTGCTAATGTTTATGGCAAAGAATGATCCTGAATTGCCTGCCGTGATTCGGTAGGTGATGTCTGCATTGGATCCCACATCGGCATCCGTTGCTTTCACCTGAACGACGTCGACAACTGTAGCTGCATTCTCTTCGACAGTACCTACAAGGAGACAATAAAAGAATATTTCTCATTATAACACACAAAAAAAAAACATTGTGCAGGTACATGTATATATTGCACTTACGAAAAGATCATTATTTATCGTTTGTGGGCGATCGAAGGATTTTAGTTGCGTTCACTAATCCCCCAATCAGGCTCTGTGATATGCATATGACATGACCCCCCCTCCTCACCCCCCCCCCCCGGCAGTTTATCAGCAGTCAATTTTCTGTGGTCCCTCCTTATACTCAGTTAGCGAACACTGATCCTCCCTCTGTCCCCCCATGAGAACCATTTTATCTCCCCTTCAACTCACCAGGCGACACATAGTGACTGATACCTTAACCCTTTAACTCCCACGATCTCATTAGTAATTCTCCTTACTGTCTGTCATGTAGTTCTTGTGATGTTAATCTGGAGAATTTGGTATTGGATCAACTAATAATCCCCTAATTAATATTTTTCTTTATTCTCATCACTTTTCTGGTTGATATTGTATTGATACTGTAGGAGGAAATTCTGTCTTGGTCACTCGTGGGGGGGGGGGGGCGAACTATAAGCCTTTGGCTTGAGAAGTATGACAACGAATGAATACTGTTTAAAGGACAAAATTTTACAAACCTTCAAAAACGTTTGCGTCAAATTTAGGTGGGTTGTCATTTTGGTCTTCCACCGTCACATAGAAATTCTGCGTGGTTTTCATGGATGTTTTTCCTTGGTCAGACGCCATTACAGTCAGGGTGTATCGATCAGTTTTCTCTCGGTCGATTTTGCCATTCACCTTTACTTGACCAGAAACAGGATCTATACGGAAAGCATTATCATCGTTGCCTTTGACAATTGAAAACCTGATTTCACCATTACTTCCAGCATCGGCGTCTGTTGCAGAGACTAAACCCACGTTGGCACCAATCGGCACATTTTCTACAACTGTAAAATTCTCCACATTGACAAATACTGGGTTGTTGTCGTTCTTGTCCAAAACGGTGAAATTAACTCGAACAAAGTTACGCTTAGGGTTTGGGGCGTTATCAGAAGCACTGATGTATAAACTGTAGAAGGCGACAGCCTCTCTGTCCAAATTTTGATTAACAGATAAAAAGCCTGTTGAGTTATCTATCTTAAACGCATCATTGGTATTTCCAGACAAAACGGAAAAAGTCACCAGACCGTTGGAGCCATCGTCAAGATCTGTGGCCATCACGTGCAATACGTTTGTTGTAAGGGCGGTGTTTTCGAGTACAGACGCTTGGTAGAAAGGTTTCGAGAATTCCGGTGAGTTATCGTTTTCATCGAGGACTGTTACCAACACAGTAGTGGTGGAAGAAAGAGAAGGTTTTCCCTGATCTTTGGCCGTGATGACCAATCGATACGAAGACGCTACTTCACGGTCTAGCTTCTCAGATGTTGTTATAACACCAGTTTTAGAATCGATTGTGAACTTGTTGCTTTTGCCGGAGGTTATCTTGTAGCTGATAATAGCATTGTCACCAATATCTTTGTCTGTTGCCTCAACGGTAGCAACCAGTTGACCTGATAGACACAGAAAGAGAAAAAAATTGCCATTTAAATGTGATGACATCTGTCATCTCCCTCCCTATACCAAGTAATTCGTTAAAAATGTGTGCTTGAAGAGGGCAAAAGTTTCCGTACAAATACAAATGTAAATAATGAAGCATATTTCAATCGGCTATAGAGAGAGCAAATATCAAAGAAGTCACAAAGGGTGTTTATCATAGAGCGGCGATAATAAGTCAAAGCAAAGCTGATTGGGGGTGTAAGGGAGGGGAGGTAGTTTTGAATAAGATAGCGCAGGTTTTCAACGAGAAATCACAAGGTGAGGTAAAGCAAAAACAACGCAATTAAGAATTTCTTTAAATATCCTGCCCAAACCTTCTTGGCCTTTCCAGGAGAGCCTAGAGAAAAAGTCACGCGTTCTCTAAACGAAATAATATGTATTAGAAATTTCATACCTGGTGCTAAGTTCTCCATTATATCTTTAGAATAGCTGGGACTGGTGAATTTTGGTGCGTTATCATTCACGTCCATCACCTCAATTGTTGCATTGTTATTCACGAACTTTCCACTTGTATCGGTCGCACGCACCGCCAAATGGTACTTCGCAACGTTTTCGCGATCAAGCTTCGTCGCAACTGTTACCAGTCCAGTGGAATTCTGTATAGCAAAAGCACCACCCACATTACCGCCTATTATGTGAAATGTTAAATCATTTCCGTCGGCGTCCGTAGCATTCAAGCGCACAACTCGAGTTCCTATAGCAACGTCTTCGCGGACCTTCGTCGGTTCCGAGGACGTCTCGAATACAGGAACGTTGTCGTCCACGTTGACAATGGTGATGTTAACTTTCGCAGACGCGGTTTGCGCAGGAGATCCACTATCCTTTGCGATGACAGTCAGGATATAGGAGCTCGTCTTCTCGTAATCCAAAGGTGTGGAAGTCTGTATGAAGCCACGTGAATCAATACTGAAATTTCTACTGCCTTTTCCTTGCAAATCGAATTGTAGTTGACCGTTTGGCCCTTCATCGTCATCTTTTGCTTCAACCTGTGAAATGATTTACGAAAGTCTAAGTGAACTTTCTTCGACCAGTAGGATAGTATGGTGGAAGCCTCAATTCGTGGATCTTTCACTTAATTTCTTTATCACGCTTTGCTAGGCTCTGGAGGAATTCCCTCACGCTCTCCGTATCTTATACTCTAGCGTTCTGTTTTGTCATTTGAAACTGTTCACATCTTAAGCACGATCAAAATTTCCTTTATGGTGACATTAATTGATCATTCTTATCTATCTGGACAGCGGTTTAAACAAATGCCGCTTATTTCCAGTCTACCGCCGTCTGTTTAGCCTGCGACCAGGCTCTTGTACTTAGGTACCGTCTGCGGCCCCCCCTTCCGGGCACTGCCTCCGATCACCCCATAAGCAGCCGCTAATGGAAAAATTATTAAAACTCCTTGCCTTAGGAAGCAACAACAGTTGTAAAATTAGCATGCAGCAACATAAAAATGAATAAAAGCATCGCACTGTAGCTCACCAAAAATACAACCAGTAAAAATCAAAGATAAACAATGAAAGAGAGAAGAGAGAAGTACTTACCTTCAATACTGTTGAACCAGTGGAGGCATCTTCCCTTATGCTACCATAAAATATCGACTGACTGAACATTGGTGGATTATCATTGACGTCATCTATTATCACCGTGACAACGACACTGGCTGAGAGCGAGGGTGACCCAGAGTCCTTCGCTACCACTGTTAATGCGAACTGAGCCTTAGTTTCCCGGTCCAGTCCTGAGTTGACGGTAAGCACACCTGACGCGGGATCGATTTTAAAGCTAGTAGTGGAACGACAAAAGAAATAACAGAACGTTAGATGAGCACTGAATAACGGAACTGGATCAATGTTGTTCTTGTTTCAAAAATCTAATGTGGAAAAATCATCTCAGGAAAAGGGTCCTCTCCATAATTCGAAATCTGCCAAGTTATTTATCAATCAGTCATCCATCAGCAAACCAATCAGTCAATCAATAGGTTTAACGGAGAGTTAGTAAATCAGTCAGTAAGTTAGCGTATATCAGTCGGTTAGTCATCTGGGTCCAGTTGTTCGAAGGCCGATTAACGCCAACCCAAGATTACATTTTAATCCAGGTTTCATTATTTCTTTCCTCAAAAGCCTTTTTTGGATAAAATTTTCTCTCCTTTTAAGAATATCCAATCATCAAATTATAGAAAAAAAAATAAATTACCCTGAAATTTCTTTGAAGCTTCCAGATATGAAATCAAATTTCAAACTAATCCTGGGTTATCGTAATGCAGTTTTGAAAAACCCGACCCAGGTTAGTATTCGGTTAGTCACCGCTCAGATAGTCAGTCAATCTGTCACGTAATCTTCACAAATCTTACCTGTCCCCAGAGTTTCCAGCCGATATACTGTACGTTAATTTTCCATTGAGTCCTGCGTCTTCATCTTTTGCTCCCACTTGTCCCACTAATTGAGATATCGTTGCATTTTCCAACACGTGGAATGTGTAAGAGGGCTGGTCAAAGATTGGCCCGTTATCATTCTCATCGATAATGTAAACTAGAACGGACGTGGTATCGCTTAAGGATGTGATGCTTCGGCTATTTTTTCCATCCTCTGCTTTCACTGTCAAGTTATATACAGCGATAGATTCTCTATCTAAAGTACGCTTGGTTGTGATCTCCCCAGTGGCCTGTCAAAATAAAGATGCAAGTATTACACTTTGGGATTTCTCCGTCCGTGCTCGTTAGTAAGCAGTGTTAACTTAAACCCAGGGAAGCTAATCCAGGGAAAAAGATTGCAAACCCAGGGAAAACGGTTGCAAAACATCAGGGCCAAATTGTTTAAAAGGCAGGTGACACTATCCAACGGACGAATGTTAACAAAAAGTACTGCGCTATCCACCGGGTAAAGATTATCCAGTGGATGCTACTGTCCGCCTTTTCAACAACCAGGACCAGGACTGGAAGTACTCTGCATGAGCCAATAATGAAATGTTGGAAAGAGAGAAACATGGAATGAAAACATTTTTACTCTTTAAACCAGACGATTTAATGAGTAACTGCCATTTCCTCGTAAATTAATTGAGAGAATTTAGTTATATCAACATTATGCCCTTAAGCTGATAGGCATTTCCGTTCTCAATGCCATTTTGGTGAGTAACATGCTTACATTTCAAAAATAGTCACCAAAGATCCTGACCAAGGTGTATGTTTGCGGTGTAAAACTCACCGTATTTATAACAAAAGCATTTCCATCGTTCCCGGATGTTATGCTGTAAAACAATTGGCCATTCAACCCAGAATCTGGGTCAGTAGCGGTTACGAAACACACAGCCACGCCATTGGCCAAGTTCTCAGCAACAGTGCAGTTGTACAGAGAATGTGGAAAGGAGGGTGGATTGTCATTGACGTCACCAACTGTTACCATGACATCGACCGATGACGACAACTGAGGAAACCCATGGTCTGTTGCTGTCACGACTAAAGCGTACGCAGCCTTCTTTTCGTGATCAAGAGTTTGATTGAGAGTGATTAATCCAGTCCTTCCATCCAAGTTAAACGTGCCGTCTTCATTTCCAGTCTTGATATCATAAGTTATCTCCTTGTTGAGTCCTATGTCGTTGTCTTGAGCTAACACCGTGACAACGGATGCACCTGAAGGCGCAGCCTCGCTGACAGACGCACCGTACTTTGATCTGTCAAATAAAGGTGCGTTGTCGTTCACATCTGAAATTGTGATTTGGACGTCGACTAGAGTATCTTTGAAAGGATTTCCACCATCGCGTGCTTCTACTTTCAGAGTATACGATGCAGTTGTCTCCCTGTCGAGTATGGACTGGACACTAAGGACACCTGGAGACAAATAATACAAAGATTAACCTTCTTGCAAAAGTTGTACCGTTATTCAAACCATAAACTGGTCACGACCTGCGCATCTTAAACCTTTACACCCCAACATCAGCATGCATATTCTCCATACTTTTCTTTAAACGTTTCCTTAGGTGTGGACAAAGAGAATTTGTTTAACAATCAAGATATTCTTTAGTTGGTGATCATTTCCTTTATTCTTACTGCCTTCAAGTGTGATTCAAGGATGATATTGTTAAGAGAAATTAGATGCTACTAACTCTTAGGGTTTAAAGGATTAAAGGATCGACCCGAAAGTTTCTTCTTGATCAATTAGAATCCTTGTTAATCTTGCCCATAATGATTCCATCTTGTCTCGGTATTGCCCCTTTCATGTTTGTATTTGTCGTTCACAAACTGTATTATTCTTGTCCATCTTTAAAAAATCTTTCTTTAGTTATTCAATAGTATTATAGTTTGTCATTTGAAAAAAATTTTAGTATCCCATAAACCTATTACCAACCGAGTTTGAGGTCCGTACTGAAAGTTGCGAACCCACCGAGTTTAGTTCGCTTAGATTGATGGCGAAGGCGCGAGGCGAGCGGAAAAAGCTCGGTCCGTAACTTGCAGTGCGGACCGGGAAAAAGAGGTTGGTAAGATGTTTATTAATTTATTAATGTCAATTCAAACAAACTATTGAATTTAGCGGGCAGCACAATAAATTACGGCCCGCTAAATTGGCCAATCACATCGCAAGCACTAACTGAGAGATACAGTAATGCACATTCGTCACTGACCAATAAGGAGCGAGATTCTTTGTTGAGCATATAATAAAAGAAGGGGATACTGACCAGTATTTCCATCAATTGTGAAGGCATTGCCCACATTTCCTCCTGTTATGGTATACAGCAGCCTGCCTCTTACCCCTGAGTCTTTGTCTGTAGCAAAGACTGCTCCGACCCTCTCACGCACTGCTGCGTCTTCGCTGACAACTAAGTTATAGCTGGACTGATTAAATTGGGGCTTGTTGTCATTCACATCTTCTATGACAACCTTCACCGGAACCGTCACTGATTTCGCAGGGTTTCCGCCGTCCGCTGCCTCTACGATCAAGTCGAACTGCTTTTTGGTTTCGTAATCAGGTGGGTTCCTGATCACAAGATACCCTAGGAGAAAGAATACCAACAAATGAAAGGTGTGTTTCTGACTTAAAAACTAGCGAAGAATGTCAAAGAAAAAAGCAGCCGTGCTTGTATCATTTGAGTGACTCTCATTAGCTACACGTCGCGTCACAAAATACTTGGCTACACATTTCATCGCGTTAAACGGAAGTGGTTGAGGTTCTAGTTTTAACAGAAGGTGGGGAGAGAGAGAGCTTATTGCAGCCACAAAAAATTGCTGCGAAGGAGACTTTCGCCAGCTTTCTTGCTTATACTAAATTCAGGTCTGGTTGGATACAACGAAATTCAGTCGCAAGTTGATTGCATCAGCTAAATAGCGCACCCAAAATTTCAGGAACAATGGCAGAATTTAAAAATCTTATCAAGTGAAGTAAAATCTGTTTATGACTTGGATGAGGTGGGAGGGGGGTGTTTTAACAAATGTTTTATTACCTTTTCCATCGATGTCAAAAAAGTTCCCGTTGTTGCCGCTGACAATAGCATACGTTATAGCTCCATTTGAACCAGAATCTAAGTCTGTCGCAGTTACCTAAAAATACATAGACGCCGTTAATAACTGTTGGCATGGCAAATATTTCCATTCAAGTTCGTCCTTTTTGCTCCGCGGTGATATTTCCGACTCCTGTCATGATATTGCAACAATAAGAGAGAAAGGAATGATGTCACTGTTTCCTACAGAAACGCAGGAAGGTTATGAGCGAAGTCATTTCATTAAATGCTGATAATATCAAAAGTAAGTTGTGGTTAGTTTTATCTTACCCTGAAGAATGAAGTTCCTTTTGCTTTATTTTCTTGTACCGTTGCTCTGTACGATGAGAGGCTAAATATCGGGGCGTTGTCGTTCACGTCTTGTACCGAGATTGTAAGATCAGCAGAGGAAGACAGAGGTGGACTTCCTCTATCTGTGACGCGGATTTTCAGTGTATAGCTCGTTCTGCAGTGGGAAACATTATATATAAAGAGAGTGTCCATAGTCGTTTTTATGTGAACTCAGTGACATCCATTACAGATTAGAATGCTTAATCATGACTATGGAAGTTTAATTCTGGATGCGATTGTAGCTGACAGTAAATCTAGAAAGCAACTTCTATAAAAAGTATTCTCTCCCTTTTTAGTATACATTATCTGCTGGTATGTATATTACTGTTTTTAGAGAGGAAGTCGGAAAAAAGGACAAGTGCACACGACAATCTTGAAAGGTAGTCTGGGTATCTGGTAATCGGTGAATTTTAAGAAGTGGAATGTAGAAATTCATCAAACTCGCGAAACCTCATCCTTACTGTGACGTTTTCTCGGATTTCTCTGAAATCCTGAGGTCAAGGAACCGTTCGCGACCTAAAAACTATCCACAATACCTTGAGGGGTTTTCGCGTGTATTTTTTTCGGACAATCTTTCTCGAAACAGCTGTAGATGCAACTTGAACCCTACCTTGTTTCATAGTCCAGTTTTCGAGCGAGAGTCAAACTTCCTGTTTTAGCCTCAAGGTTGAATAAATTCTGTCCGTCTCCTTTTTCGATGTAATACCGCAAATCAGCGTTCACACCTGTAAGCGACCGAATAAAAAAATCAAAACGACAGCAAGAAAATGACCGGTGTGGAGTTACATCAATTGGAAAAAGATGTATCTTTGTGAAAAACCCTCTGAACAAAGGTTACTCGATACGAAAAAAATATTGCGAGTCATCTGCAATGAGGGTGACAAGTGTCTGCAATTATACGCATGTCGTGTCTACCGATTACAGTTTGCATGATTGCACAAGTACGGAAGTTTCAAGTCGTTAACTTCGTCAAATACCACTATTTAAAAGTGGATCCACCTTGCCATGGACCGATCATGACAAATCGACGAGAATTTTGAGATAATAAAAATTTTCCTTCCGTCACAATTTTTGCATTGGCACCTGTTTGTAACCAGGTATACCATTAATTCAATTATACATTTTTTAAGTCTTGAGAATATTCCTCTGAAACTTCAAATAAATTCAAAATGGCCAAGTCTCGATCTCTCATTGTCTTCTTCTCAGCGGTTCTTATTTTGTCTAGTCCCGCGTTGTGTAAAGAGAAAGAGCGAAAGGAGACGAATAAACGACTCGTTGCCCGGGTGAAACGTTTACCCAAAACAGTTAACTTGCCTAAATCTCGATCAGTAGCTGTAACAACAAATAACACCTCCCCAGTGTTCTTGTCTTCAGGAACTTGTTTTGTCGCTGGTACGTTGGTTATGACCGGTTTGTTATCATTCACATCTAGAATCGAAATATCCACCGTCGCGGTACCGTCCTGAGGAGTTTGCCCATGATCCCTCGCGCGCACGGTAAGCGAATATGAAACCTTGGTTTCTCTGTCGAACGAAACTTTGCTCTTAATTGTTCCAGTGCGTGAATCGATCATAAATGCACTCGTATCCCCGGAAATAATACTGTACGATAACTCCCCATTGGATCCGGCGTCAGCATCTGAAGATCAAAAATTAAAGAAAATCACGACTTCAGCCTAAAAACATAAAACAGAAAGAGCGCTCTTCGATTGAGTGAAACCTTAACCAAAGAAATTATAAGAAAAGAAAATACCTTTAAAGAGCCAATGAGTACTCAAAGTAAAAAACAAGCAAACTGCCTAAAGCGCGGGAAAACGCGGGCGACCAAGTAGTGATTGGTTTTAGTTTTGCATCTGATTGGTTGAGAATACCTGAACCAATCACAAAGCGAGGAAAAGTGAAACCAAAGCAATCCCGGATTTCTTTGAAACTCAATTGGAAGTTGCAGTTTATTTGCAATTATTTCTACAATTGATAATTAGTGAAGACTGTTCAGAAAAATATAAATATGGCTGAAAAATATATTTGCTACATCGAACACCTGCACTGTTTTTAATGCCTGGTGTTGCAATCTCTTCGCTTACCAAGAACGCAGCTTAGGATCCAAAAAAAGTAAGAACAGACTCACCAATGGCAGAAATTTGTACCACAGTGCTTCCCACAGCGATGTTTTCTTGCACGGATGCTTTGTATGAGTTCAAAGTGAATCGCGGACTCTCATCGTTTTCGTCCAGAACTTCCACTTGAATGCGAGTTAAAACTTTCAGCGCTGGCGAACCACAGTCCTGCACTGTAATCACTGCTGTATAATGCGGCTTCAATTCACGGTCTAATTTTACAAGTACCTTTACTTCTCCATTGTTATCAATACCAAAGACCTTAGAATTTTGGGACTGTTCCGTAACAATTTCGTAAGTTAAAGAACTGCAGCCTGCGTCTGGGTCTCTAGCTTGAATCAAGCCTAGTGGCGTGTTGCGGTTGTTATTTTCCTTCACCGAGAACTTACATGTGTTATTTTGCGCGCAACCTTTCACGAAATATGGGGGCTCGTTGATATCTTCTACAGTTACTGTTAGAACTGTGGTATCACTCTTGGGAGGATTTCCGCCGTCTTCGGCAGTGATTCCAAGAGTGTAGCTACTCTTTTCTTCGTAATTCAACTTTTGTGTGGTCTTAACTTCGCCTTTGTCGTTTATCGTGAATCTTTTATCGTTATTTCCCGAGTGAATGCTGTAAGTCAACTGCGCGTTAACGCCAGTATCGGCATCCGTCGCGGTAACCATAGTAACAAAAGTATTGGCAGGATTTTCTTCAGGTACAGTTGCCGAGTATGATGCATCTGGGAAACTTGGAGAATTATCATTGGTGTCTTTGACGTTAACAAGAACAACAGCGCGACCTTTGTGGCATCTGTTGTCAGTGTTTTGACCGAGGACAGTCAAACGGTAGGAAGATTTTGTTTCTCTGTCTAGTTTCTTTGTCGCTCTTATGAGACCACTGTTAGAATCGATGCTGAAAACGTCTCCATCATTTCCTTCGATAATGCTGTATTTGAGCCTGTTATAAAAACAATATAGAAACAAAATTTAGATTAGGCTATCTTCGATCCTGCTATGTAGCAGTGGGCATCGACCATGAACCTCCACCGGACCCTGTCTTTAGCTGTTCCAGATGATTATATTCTGGCCAAGCTCAACTTGGACAGACCCAAACCCCCACGTTTCACGCCTTTATTACTTTGCCTTGTTTTGCTAACTGAACGCTTGGGACAGACCATCCACCGTTTAAGAAAGACCTGATGCAAGATCAAGTGACCAATTAAGGTTTCTGGTGATATAACAGTTTTGAGCACACTTACGTGTAGGAGTATGGCGACAGCTTTTCATTCAGCACCGTGACAGGTGCATTCTGTTCTTCCGTTACACTTGCAACGTACGTGTCACGCGAGAAGAGAGCATCCCACATGGACAATTTAAATTTATTGCTTGAGTGCTGGCCTTGAACTGCAACGAAAACGATCTAAAGACCAAACAAAATAAAAAAATAAATAAAAAAATAAAAGAACAAAGGAACAACAAATAAATAAAGACAATACGCTCCGTGGTTGGTTTGTGGCGGGAAAAAAAATCCTGAATTCGTTTTGCTATGAGTCATATTTCAAACAACAGTAAGTGATTTATCCTACCTTATTTGATTCGGATAGAGACAGGGAAATGGCACGAGGTGAGACATCACTCTCATTTTTGGACGAGGCTGGATCCATGGGGCCTGGGTTGGAACTTGTTAGTGATGCGTAAAGATGGGAAATACCTATGAAGATATAGGAAAGGTTACTCATTCAATTCAAGCAATAACTAATTCACCTACAGGTTTGAATAAATATCAGCAATTACACATGGAAACGAAAAAATATTTCCAAAATTATTGATAACTTTAGACACCGAAAAACTTGGTATTTCTTTCCAAATAATTCAACAACGCCTCGCTCGGTTGTAGACGAGGGAACTTTTCAAGAATCGTAAGAGGGCGTAACCTTCAAGATCTTGGGACTAAACCAGAAACTAAAATGACTTTACAAGTGCTTCCTTTGTGATGTGAAAAACTTCGTATAGATTAAAGGAGGCACAGAGATGATAGCAAAGTAAGATAGAAAAGCACTATACTAACAATTGTGACCCAACATAACTCAACATTGACACTGACTGCGTACATTCATGACACCTTAGTGAAGTTTTCAGCGATACTGAAGAAATGTTGCCTCTACATTTAAGATTTTAAGTTTTGAATTCCGCAAGTTAAGGGCTTGGCCCTTTAAAGGAAGAAAGACAAGTTCCTTACAAGTATCGAAAGCTAATCCCGCCTTAAGCTGTCTATCTACGCCTCAGTTGAAAAGTTTCCTACAGCAACTGACCTTCGATGTCGCTGACTTCAACAGATATTCTTTTATTCGCCACGGTGCTAAATTGGGTCCTGAAGTATTTAAACGTGTCGCTCTCCACAGTGGTAACAGTATCGTCACACGAGGAGACAGCGGCGCCCTCTGAAATGAAGAAGACAAGGTTGTGCTGACGCAAACAACTCGAATTTTTAACTCACTTTGGGAGCGAACTGGTAAAGGTGAAGGGAAAAGGGAGAAGGGGGAGGGAGGGGACTTGTTCTGCTCCAGGAGAAAAAGAGTTTCCGGTGCGAAAGGAAGGAGAGGAAGGAGGGAATTTGGGGAGATCTCCAGATGCCGATGATTCAAACAACCTGGGGGTCAAGTTGGAGGTGAACTTTTTTCACTTTAGGAGGCGTACTCGCAAAGGTGGTCGGAGGCGAACTTACAATACGCGACTTTGCTAATACTGCGTCCAAATGAATGCTGGGATTGGCCAACCCTGTATCAGATCCCTCAAGAGGTATGTTGTTTCGCGCGGCCTCGAGCTCTTTTACTGTTATGTGAGAAGCAAAGCCAAAAAAGCTTCGCAAAATCAATTAAAATTGTATTTTTGCAATCCTTTTTTCTTTCCATAATGGTGAAGATCATTGATCTGTATGAAAATGTGATAATGACCGTTGACATCCCGGATGGTTTAAACGGAAACCTTTTATTTTCAATCCGCGGGTTAGTGCAGATATCCGAAAAAAGTGGTTACACGTTACCCCTAAGGGTCATAGTCTAAGGATTGGCCAGTCCCAGCGTTCATTCTGACCCCAGTATTAGCAAAGTTGCGTAGTAGGGGAAACCTTCAGATACCACGACTCAAACAAATATAATTTCAAACTCTCAGGAGAACAATTTTCATGAGGTTAAATGACTTTTCGAATCTCACAAAATGCAGACTGTGTCAGGCCTAATTTGGGATAAAACTCTTAAAGAGGGTGAGAAGTTACATGATTTCTGAGCGCATGTATCCTTTTAAGGGTTACAAAATGGAAGAATTGTCTCTTAGCTTACCATCACATGACACTGCACTAAGTTTATCCACCCAGCCCGACAGATCGTTAAAGCTGCTCATTCGGAACACGTGAGTGCTATCCGGGTCAGAAGCTATTGTATTCAACTCTGCAGGATTGACGTTATAACCGACACCGATGGAAAAGATATTTACTCCATGGTTACGGAGTTGATTGGCAGGTCCGCTCACACCACGCCCATTGGAATATCCATCGGTAAGTAAGACAGTCACTTTAGGGATGCCTTGATCAGGTCTCATTCCCTGTGAAGCAAGGAGAAGGGAAATGTCTTGCCCACAAACATAACACATGATCAGTGGGGAAGGGGGGAGGGGTGGAGGGGAAGGGACCTTTGTGTCTTGCACAACACAATGATCCTGTTTAAAGGTATGACATTGATGTCAGAAACTTGAAATAAGAACTCTAATTTTACGTCAGTTTAATTAAAAAACTTTTCCTGAGAGAACCGAAAGAATGATCGCCTTGTCAGCGTTGAGTTAAATATCCTGAGAAAAGGAGCCCTCAAAATGACTAAAAATATTTTTTTTGGACGATTTTGTTTCCTTATGGATCCTACCAAAAGACTACAAAAATCGACCGACTCAGGAGTTGTGAAATTCTTCCCAGTCTACTCACTTGTGACGTGGTGAAAATGTTCTTGCGTACATAATCCAAAGCGTCTGCAGTGTATGTCCACCCCCCTCGGTAATTTATGTTTCCTACTGCATTCTTGATCGCCGACTTGGTGTGATGGGCTTTTAAATTGAATTCCAATTTTGTGTAGGTGGAGTATGTTACCACAGCCACGTGTGTCCCGGATGAACCAATGTTGAAGAAGTCCACCACATTTTTCACAAAGTCCTTTATTTTTTGGAAGTTATAGCTTCCCACACTGCCTGAACTGTCCAGTATAAAGGCTAGATCCACGGATGTCTGGCAAACTGAGAAGTAGAATTAAAAAAAAGAGTTATAACCCCTGGCAGGTTTGCTTGACGAATAAAGTCAAGCGCACGATGCTTTTTTTGGACTGGCTCGACGGATTTCGCCGAAAAACTGCTCGCACCCTCTGGTTGTCCAGCTCACCAACAATTTCCAGTGGTTTACTCTGTGTTACAACATCGGATCGCGAAATAAGTAGATCTGAGGTTTGATTTCTGATAGGGTCTCAGATATATATATGTATATATTTTTTTTGTCCCACGCTAGTGTCAGGCATCATTTTTTATGAAGGAAACATTGTTCACGAAGTTCATTGGCATAGAAATTGATGAACTACTTCAGTTTGTCAAAGATAACCTGCTAGGAACAGTAGAATCTCCCTTTTATCCTGAAGATTCAAATTGTAATTTTCCCTCTCTGTCTGACATAAATTTATCCCGAAATAGTCTATTTTTGCTTGAGAAAAAGTGCAACTAAGGCTCACCATCTCGAATGACGCTTGCATGGATGTAAGAATTGGTTGCATAATGAACCCAGTCAAATCCTGCCTGTACAGCCAGGCCTGCTAAAGTGGATAGCTTTCCTGTGTCACCATCAGAGGTCTGGAGACGAACAGCACGTCCTGGAAGATCAATTAAATTTTTTTTTCTTAAGTAACAGAGGAATCGAAAGATAAATAAAAACCTCCTTGTATTAAACCGATGGCGATAAAGGCTATAAACTTCCCAACTTAGGTAGCGTGACAGTGTCTCTGCAAATGTCACGCAATCAAGAGATGATATTGTAGTACAATCCTGTTGCGTGTTATGTGTAGAGAAGCGGACTCGTTGAAAAAGGCTATAAGATAGAGATATAAAAAAAACAAGTCATTGAAACTGATAACGAAATGAATCAAGCAGATTAATTATAAAGTCTATTATGCACAGTTTCAATTAGAAGAATGAGTTATTTATTTGTTTGCTGATTGCTACTGGCCAAAATCCAAAATCAGCCTATGGAGACGTGACGGACGGAAAGAACTGCAGGGGTGAAAACTAATGAATTCTATCGTGGACTTATGGTTGTGAATTAGCTGAAAATCTGTGCGCTAGAATATCAGACGTCAAACAATTTCCTTTTTTTGAGAAGACTGTCAACTTCTTCACATTTCTTATGATCCAACGTCAAATTTATAGTCGCTTAAGAGGTCAAAAATTTGCATTGTAATCTGCGAATTAAAATCATAACTCTTCGTCACTAGTTCGTTTCTTATGGCTTCATCTTCCTGTTTTTGGTGTTTTCCTATCTTAGTCAACTGATATAAACGATGTTTTTTCCATTGACGCTGAAAGTAATATTGTTTGTCGCTGTTAAAATGTCCTACATAAAGCAGCTTAATTAAAAGAATTGACCACGAATATGCAAAACAAAAGTTGCAAGAGATTTAACTAACTTTACGTTAAAGCTCAAGTTTCTCTCCCACAAGTAAAAATTCGATCGCTTAACAGGATTATAAAATTCATCTAATTTATCCTTTCCATACTGATTCGTAAATGAAGAATATTAGAATTTGATCATTAGGGGAATACTAGCTCGCTTAGATAAAATTCTCTGTTTGGCAAAGTGTCAACGAAACCTATTGAGCTTGATTGAAAAGTAAATTTAGGTCAAGTTGCACAATCTTCGTGATCTGTCCTTCTTTCACCAAAATAGCAATTTCATGGACCGATGACCTTCTTGAGCAGTTGTCATTGTGAAATAATTTAGTTGAAAAGAATAGAAACAGCACTATTAGGAATTAGTGAATATAAAATTTATGAATATATTTTCAAGAGAAAACACATACGTGAGCGAAATTTTTCAGATAAACATTCAACGGAAATTGAGGATCAATTAATTTTGTTCTCGATTTCATTTTCCGCACATCGATTTTAATTTAGTTTAAAATAAAGTTTTCAAGGTTTATGTCGTCATACCTTCATAGTGAAGCGAAATCGGCGCTTGTGGCATTATTTGGTCCGTCCAAGCTAAAGTAACTTTCAATTTTACATTGCTCCATTGCCGTCTTACTGTAGATCCGAGCACATCTAGCTTGCTCTTCGCTCGAGCAGTCATTCGACGGCAGTCATCGTTTGCGAAGTTAATCTCACTGTTTGTATTCTTGACGAGGATTTTTCGAAAGCGAGCTGAATTTCGTCTAATAATGTCGCGGATGTTTCCACATGTTTCTATTTCAGCCTCGTCAGGGTACCTTTGTCCTTGATTAATCGATCGAAGTTGACTGTTCACAAATTCTGCACTGATATAAGTTATCAGCAGGAGTTTGAAAATCGTCGTTGCCATCTGTAACTGCTCGGCCGAAGCAGTCAATAACTTAAAAATGTCTTGGATAGCTGTGGCAGAGGTGATTCAACGATGCGTTAAGCGCCAACGTGCGATTTTAAAAACCAGTGTGAGGAGTGCCCTTTGATGAATGTTATTCTCCTTTCTGCTAAGCTGTTACCAAGGCTCTGCCCCCAAATTGAAATGTTATATAGCAGTTGACGATTTTGAGGTCACTCGCCAGTGAGGTGTCTGATTACAACAGACAGCCAGGATTCCTTTTTTGGACAATACCTCCTCCGCTAACCTTGCCTACGAGAAAAGGAAAGTGGAACAGTCCGCTATGACGCCCATCCTTTTTGAGCGGAAAAAAAACAAAAAAAGAAAAAAGAAAAAAAAAACCAATGGATGCAGAATTACATAACAATCGGCAAAATGAAGGGAACAATCACGCACAGGGGCAACAGAGACCAAGTTTTACATACAAAAGAGACAATTCCCATATAAGGTTTTGATCGTGGCTGCGCGGGCAGCAATTTCTTTATCCCGTGATCACACGCTAATAAATAAGCGAGCAAGTTGCGACATGTTTTCAAACGCCCCTTTTCAACTCGAGTTCCGATTGCCTCCGGTTGTCGCTTTTCGATGAAGGCAACAACAAACTTGAAGGGAAGAAAAACAAAGGATTTACAGCAAATGTCACAAATGACGAAGCGAAACAATATCACCCTTAGGGGGTACTCCCTGAAATTCCTGTGAAAACTCGGAGGCCGCTTCCGGAATCTCATATAGATGAAATGAAAAATGAAATATTTGAGACCTTGCCGAGAGGCAATACTGTATTTTAGATTTACGATATTATTCTGACAATATAAGTGATATTTTGACTGTTTAAGGATAACGTTTGTTTATGCGAACATTATATAATAAGAGCTAATTTTCACATTTTGCGATCTAATTGATGAAATTTCAAAGGGTAGACCCTGGAATGCGCAAAAGAGTGAACGATTCGAGATCAAAATGGAGAAAAAAAACTATACTTCTGATCAAAAATACTTTCAAATTAAGCTTTGTACGAAACATTTTCACCGCTTAGACCCATATATTTTCTTGTTTTTACAAGTCGGCGTGCGGAACAGAAAGGCCGCGTAGGCGTTCTGTCTCGTAGACTTTGGTTAGCGATTACAGTGGAAGTAGTTTACCCTTGGAATAAAGCGCGTTAAAAAATAAAAAAAAAACTTTAAAATTTGGTGCCGCACATACCGATATATACCTTTCAAATTGGAGCAGCCTCCGATCACAGTAATATCGCCGATGGATCTTTTTTGCAGAATTATATTTCACAGGGGAGGCGGTCGTGGAAAGAAGTCAACTGGTTGTCAACAACTGGTTCAAAATCTTTTATCCAATCGCTTAAGAGGTACTTCGTCTAAACTGAACATTGAAACATTACTTAAAAAGGAAAAATCGAAAATTATCGTGTTTCTGTTGCAATGTTGTCAACAAAGAAATCGAAAATTATTGATTAATGTTTCAGTAAATGAAAAAGCATATAGTACAGCCCTTCAAGAACCCTGTCACCCTTCATGTGATCGCTATGTAAATTTTCCTCACAATGTCTGAACAGACAGGTGATGAAAATCAAGACAGCCGTCAACTGTTTGATATTGTTTGCATTCAACTCCAAATTCCTAACACAACCCACATGAAATGAATAGTGTGACCCTCAGATAGAAGAATTAGATTTAAGATTGAGAGAGTGCAAAAGCACCCGTAATAGAGCAGTTTTCGGCTCGACTTTGCCTTTTTGTTGACCCCTTTTTTCGGAGAATTACATTTCAGACTCTTTGAAAGAATAGGAACCAGTGGTAGAGGGTTTCTCAGCGAAAAAGTCAGATCGTTAAGCTCAATTCTTAGCTTTTTGAGTCCGGTTTTCGATCCCGGCTCTGATGAATCGCCTTTCGATTTACGAATTCGATACGCTCTGCTTGTCAGTCGAGCTGAATAACTGGCGGCCTTTCAGGAAATACGCATATGTACTGAAGAATTCATATTCACTATGGTAATTTGGCCCGCGCCCGTCCCCTAAAGTCTTTTCTCGTGAGGAATGAAATCTGTTCCCAAGACGGCGGGGAAAATCAAGCCTCCGTCGATAAAAGCGACGGAAGTTAAAACAACCACGTAATCTTTGTTCTTCCATCTGCGGTAGAAACTCCATTTTAGGTTCTTATTTAACGGAGAGCAGAAACATTCTAGGGAGTAATCGAGCATAAGCGTTTTTCCTTTCCGGTAATTGGCCTTTAATCAGATTTCTGGTCACTATTTTAGATTTCTTTCGTGTTTCTGCTTAAAAACTAAACTAATTTTAATCCTGGAAATCGAAAATTTTTGTGTTTCTGTTGCCATGCTGTAAGCAAACAAATCGAAAATAATTGATTAATGTTTCAGTAAATAAAATGAAAAATATTTAATTTTTAATTTTTTTTTTTGTCGAGTACAGAGTACAGCCCTTCAAAAACCTTGTAACTCCTGCTCGTAATCGCTATATAAATTGTCCACACAATGCCTGAAAAGACAGGTGATGAAAATCAAGGTAATTGTCACCTGTTTGATATTGTTTGCATTCAACTCCAAATTCATAACACAACCCACACAAAAGAAAGAAAGTGTGACCTTCAGATAGAGGTATTAGATTTCAGATAGAGAGGGTACAAAGGCAACCGTGAGAGAGCGGTTTTCGGCGGAAAAGGCAAATCGCTCGGTTCGACTTTGCCTTTTTGTGGACTACGGTTTTCGGAGAATTACATTTGAGACTTTGAAAGAATAGGAACCAGTGATAGAGGGTTTCTCAGCGAAAAAGTCAGATCGTTAAGCTCAATTCAGTCTTGGCTTTTTGAGTCCGGTTTCGATCCCGGCTCTGCTGAATCGCCTTCCTGTTTACGTTCTGCTTATTACTGAGTTGAGCTGAATAACCGGCGGCCCCTCGGGAAATATGCCCACGTACTGAGGAATTCAAATTCACTATGGTCATTTAGGCCGCGGCCGTCCCCTGAAGTCCTTTCCCGGGAGGAATGAAGTCATTTCCCGAAACGGTGGTGGAAATCAAGCCTTAGTTAATCATTTGTTTATTTTCAGACTTCCGTTCTTTCTTAGGTTGTTTGTCCACCGCTACCGACAAGACAATTTTTCTGTCAGTTTTTTTCAAGGTCTCACATCCATGGAAAAGTGAGACACGCGTCAACGAGAGAAAACTTTAGGCTATTTTTGGTGCCGTTAAAATTATTCTCTCGCCCCAGAATTAATCGAAAAGATGTTGTGACCGAGAGTTTTTATGGTCTAATATTCGTCGCGATCCGACGAAGCTCGCATTCGTTGCTCATCATAGCCGTGAGAAAGTGAATTAAAAAAAGAGAAAAGAAAAAGGCAAACGGAAGTGCGTCGTTATCAGGATTTGTAGACGAGGAGAATTCATAAATAATTGGACACCTGTGTAGGAGGTGAAGGTGATACTGTAACTCCTGACGAAGTGGCTATGCAAGCTTTTTTCTTATATACTAAACCAAGAGCCCTACACTTGATAATCTTTAGAATGACGGCTGTAATTACTTGAGAAATGTGTTTCTTTTAGTAATTTCCTCCGCCTATTTAGCTTAATTTTTTATGAAGTCTTACCGGATTTAATTTGCTTCTCAAATAACTGTTAAATATTATTTACATAATTCATTATAGCATCAAAAAATTTATGAAAAATTTGACATACGAAGCACAATACATAATTAGCTCTTATATGATAGTTCGATTCGAGACGCTTCCTGTTTATCAAAATGAAATGCAATATCCTTCGAAAGTAAACACGAATGATTTTAACCTAACGTCAGCGAAAAAATAAAGATTAGTTATCACACAGTGTGGGTAGAAAGGTAAAGAAACGAAGATGAAAAAAAAAAAAACAAACAAAAAACAGAAATGTTCTATGATCTGTATTTTAGCGGTAGCATTTTACAGATGTGTCCTCTAGAATTCTTTCTATGATCTGTAATTGCGGGAAATTTAACACGACGGCATTCAACCATGCTAACAAACGCAAATTTTCAGTTTCGATTCGTCGATTGTTCAGGACAATGAGGAAACAAAAAAGAGAGAAACAATGAATGTCTGAAATAAGAATAGGCTAACCGCTGTTGATTCTCTCTGTTCTTATCTGTTCTAGTTCTGGATATTTCTATTTGGAGACCAGATTTAGGAAATGACTGTGTTGACGTAACTACTTGATCTAACCTCCTTTCGCAACAAACTCCGGTTAGTTTTTTTTTTTTGAGGTGGTAACGCCTTTTTTATCTTTGCGTCAGTTACCGTCATCGCGCACACCTTGTCTGACATCGACAATACTGCCAGCCATTTTGGGAAACTATTGTCTTTCCTCAGACCTTCCTAGTTCTTTGACGCTTGAAAATACATGCCGCGTGTGATAATCCTTACAAATGAATAACAGGCACAAAGAAGAAAAACGCTGAGTTTCATTTTCGAATCTTGGCAATGACGCACCGTTCCATTTATTTTTTCGGATGGTCTGGAAGCGGAAGTACGCATTTGCGTTTTGCGTCCTATGCATTGGACTGGCAGATTGGTGGTAAAGATTGATTAATCTCAGAAGAAAATATACATAATCTGCTTGATAATTTCTACCGTTGTCGTTGCCCTTTTGAAAACAATTACCCAATCTTACTGTACCGACCAAGCTTGTCTGCTACTTCATTTTCCAAAAAAGATAAATCGAAGGAAAAAATCTCTATTCCACGGAACTCATAAGCGGAAGACAAAGGGTATTTCCATATTGATGTGATTTCTTTCATTTCTCTCCAATTAAATGGTGCGCAATTTGAAGATTCAATCGAACAATTATCAATATAGAATTTTTTTCTTCATGTATGTCGATCTCACAGTTTTCGTAAAAACGCCAAGGAAAGATATAAACTAATTCGCCACTGACAATTTTTTTCTTTTCGGCCAAGAATTCAATGCGATCTTTTGACTAATATATTTTCTAGCGATTTCCCCTGGGAATAACAAAGAGCGGCGCACAGCTTTTTACAATGAAGAGCTCAGTTATAACTTATTGCCTCATTTGAACACGCCAGTCGCCAACTGTGCTTTGTAGACCTTTCATAATTAAACCATAGCAACTTCAATTAAATGCATAAGGAGAATTATGTTAGTATTCATTAGGTTTTCATTTTTTCATTCACCGCCGAGTAAGTACAATTTAAACGAACGCATATCGACCATCATGAAAGAAATGAAAACTAACCGTAATATCTTCAGAAAAAGTGCTTCCACATGAATCACAGTGTGTATTAGAGTATCGCTGGACTCTCGCAAGCAAATACTGCAGTTTATTTAGATTCGATTGTGTTAATTGTGTACTAAAATGCGAAAAAGAAAAACTAAATCGATCGGCAGCGTAAGCACGTCACTGTTTTAATTTATCTGACGGGTCCCATCCTATCTGATATATCGGGGAAGTATTGAGCTCTGATCATAAATCAAATGAAAAACATCGGTTAATCCCATTCTCCCAGTTTTGCTTTGATATATCGGGGAAGGAACGAGCTCTGATCATAAATCAAATAAGGAATTGGTTAATCCCATTCTCTTAGCTGCACACGCTTAGAAACTAGAGTCGTTATTGCTTACCTTATCTTCCAGCTTTGCTTCATATCTAAATACCTTATGCACTCTGGATCACTCATGAACAGCTTGTGGTGATTAGGAATTTTCTTTGAGGCAGCAGTAGTTTCGAATGTTAGTTTCCACTTCCTCTTCGCAGTCGTCGATGACTCATAGGAAAGAGAGCAATACAAAACATTCCAGTTTAGGCTTATCACCTAATTATGACTGGCAAGATTTGAGCTCCGCGTGTAACAGTCAGTTTCGAATGCAAATTAACTAAGATGTACTGTTTGTTTGGTTATTGAAAAAAAGTGCAACTCGCAGCTGGAGGGCTGAATTGCGTGTACACAAAATAATAATTTTAAATAAAATTAATAAATATATAAATTGAATAATATTGAAAACGTGAATTACAAAGTTGGATTTAATCTATGTGATCTAAATATGTGTCATAAAAAAGGGCATTATATCTCTAAGTCTATTAGAAAATATAGTTCATAATTAATATATCAGGATTCGTTGTAAACTCCAACTGAAGACGGTATAAAGGTGTTCGTAAATCTACAGGTCTTTGCTCTTGGGGGAACAAAGACTCGAGTCTGTTTAAGATTGTATCTTGGAATGTGTCGTTCAGGTAGAAGATGTCCAAGGTTGTGACTGGGTGTAGTAAAAATGTTATTGAAAAGTTTGTCACATGCATTTAAACGCCTGTCGCTTAGCTTTAAAATTCCACTGAGGTCCAAGCTGTCCGCGTAGTCGATGTTGGGGTAGATGATTGCCAGAACACGATTCTGAACCCGTTCTATGGCATCTGATAAGTAGGCTGGTAGTGCGAAATGGAAAACCTGACAGTTGTACTCCAAAACAGATCTTAGGGGTAATAATGTCTTGTTCAGGGACTCTGGCGCGTAGATGTAAAATCATTTCAGCTTGAACATGGGATCAGTACATTACAAAAGTCAACGAACACTAATTATATGGATCAGTTGCTAAAGTAAGGATACAGTAAACTAGAAGAGAGCTAGTTCCACTGTGCAGTAAATCAAGCTAGAATATACGCTACCCGTGGATTACAATCTTTGTAATAATCAGGTGCTGCCATGCCTTTTTAAGCCATACATTTTTTTTTCCATATACCACTTTCAGTTAGGGGAAGACTCCAGAGGAGTACCATTTTCAAAGACAGGCATCATTTGCATTCACATAACAGTACGAATACATGCATTTTAGCGAGCACTCATCATCGTGTTTTTACTACTCCTTACGATGATCAAATTTACAAAGTAAAAAAATTCAAACAACCAGCAAGCTCCCTCTGTGAGTTTTATAACAGGAGAGGATAATGGCTATTTCACTCAATCGCACGTCACCAGAGAGACGGTCTGAATGGGGGGGTTCTCTTGTTGTTTGTCGGTAACAACTTTTAATTACTTTGACTGTAGTTGGTAAAAATTTTCGCTCCTTGTCCGTTGCCAGTAAATTTCAGTCAATGATTAAAAATGCAAGTTAATTGTTCATATTCCTTAGGTAATTCGTGGGCTCGAAGACTGAGTACTGTTCCAAAAATGAGCTTAAAATAAAGCAAGTTTCTTTGATAAACTGAAACTTAAATTTAAATTGGCTACCTCCTATACAGTAGCCGTCGATAATGTTGGAACATGTCCGTTGTCGGTTGGTATTTTCTTGGTGCTAATCGGTTTTCCATTTTTTGCGTTTTGTTAGTAGTCAGTTATATTTTTCGCCCCTTGTCGCTAGTCGGTTAAGCCCTTTCAGACCCTCTAGTGATTTTCTTAGAAGAGAACGTAAACGGAGCTGTCTTCTCTCTTTTACGATTATCTCACGTGAAATCAACAGTTACAGGCAAATTAACCTCTTTATGATCTCAGTTAAGAGCATCTTAATCAAATTTCCAGTTTTCGGTATCAGCGCTGTCCATCTTACTTCAAGTAAGCAGGAAACAGAATTCATCACCTTTGTAAGTGTAGACCTTCTCGCGAAGAGGCGGCTATCTAGGAAATTTTACGCGCGGTCAAATTTTATAAAGGACAAAAACCGAATAACTTCGTTAATTTTATTCCAGTCTCCCCAATTCGTGGGAAAGACACATCTGCCTTAAGCAGCATCATTGGGTGTCATACAGCCGCTCCCCCCCTTCCCCCTTAATTTCCATAAACAGGATCTACGCCCTCCCCTCCCCAACGCTCTGCATTACAACACGCGAACAAAGGAGGTATATCAAGAAATGATGTGCATTTGCTAAACTTTTATTACTTTAACGATTACAGCGCTTACCACTAAGAAAGCATTTACTAAGATAAAATCTTTAACTAGTTAAAAACATGTTTGATCACGTCCTGCGTGTGTCATTGAGGTTTGATGAAAAATTACTGCACAGCAGTAAGGTCATCACAGAATCATATCTGTATTTAAGGATTTACTTTACAAAAAGTTTTCATGACAAAATTGAAACAAATATCGTTTACTTCTGATATAAAAATCTTGCATATCAAGTAGATCAGTGATCAATTTTTCAAACATACTCATTTAAATTACAAAGAGTTTAAAACCTAATAAATCATTTTTCCTTTTGGAATATCTATTATAACAACCCCGATTTATTTGAAATATTCCCGAATACGGTTACACTTTCAGATACTAGGAAGGATGGGGGGCTTGCATGTGCTCAATCATTTTTTAAAGGGATATACATCGCACTTTTGAGTGTGTTAAAAAAATGCGGCTTAAAGTTTTTCAGGCTCGTGGCTCACAGTCAGACGAATTTTCTCCATCTTTGACGATCTATTCTCAATTCATCTTTCACCCGCAAAATCTCTCCTTTGTACCTGCGATACAATTCTTTTGATGTTAGTTAAGAGATATTGCTATTGGATCAACTGATAACCTCCTAATTAATATTTTGTTTTCTATTCCCAACACTTGCCTCATCAGAAAGTCTCGATCAATACACGATTGACTAGCCTTACTTTTATTTTGTGAGGCAAACAATTAAACTTTCAACCATCGAGAAATTATGCTATGGCCAGTCATGGGAGCTAAACGGAAAACCAGAAAAAAGTTATCAAAATCTTTAGAAAACGTCATGCTTTGCTGTTTTTCCTATTCGAAGATTTTCTGGGGGATTGTGGAATTCCATGATCTATTCCTTCCCATTAAGTGTAGAATTGTAAGATGACAAAACCATCAATCCTTCCATCCATCAATCAACCCATCAATCAATCAATCAATCAATCAATTAACCATCCAATCAGTTATTGAATCATGTAACCTTCATTCAGTCAGTTAATTATCAATCTCAATCAATCAATCTTTGAAACAATCAACTTGTTACTTTTCGTCTCCCTCTTGCATTTTAAAAAAGCAAAAATATCGACGTGAAACTCCCATCCACGTACGAAAAAATTAGCCAATAAGATGCAATCGTTACCAAAATTCGCGTAATTCGAGTTAAAAAATGATCACATGATTAACAAACCGTGATCAAAGTCTCTAACCCCCGCAGAGGCTTACATTGTTTCGTTGACAATCGGTGAAGAAGATTCCTCAGTGCTTGGTCTTCTGTTCTTCATAACAACCTCTCCAAACCTGTAGATAAGCTTCTGTCCCTCTTCGTGAAACATAATTCGTCGGTCGTAGTAATATCGTAAAGCCCGACTCAGCTTTTCGTAAGTCATATTACGTTTGTTCTTTCGTTGGCCCCAGAGTTTTGCAGCCAATTTGGAGTCGACGAATTTAAAAGTTCCCTCTTCCTTTGAGACCCAACTCACACAGTTTTCTTCACCTTTATCAAGAAGCTCTTCAAGAAACTTCCACAAGACAACTGTTTTCCGAACTAAAAATGAAAAAAATGAAAAAAAAAAAAAGGAAAAGAAGGTTTCATCATTTGAAAAAAACTTAATGCTGAAGTTAGTTAGACGAATTCAGGCTCGTAGAAGCATTTTCCTTTATTTTGACCAGCCGTTGCGACTATTTTGCCTTTGGTGTAGGGACACTCATTTGGGAAGCGCTCTTGTGACTTATGTTTGAAGCCTGCGTTATGTTTTAAGTTTTTCATCCCATCAAAAACTAACTCGAGAACCTTTCTGAACTAAAACGGTTTCCATTTAATCATAAAGATACGGACATAGAGCTACGGAATTGGAAATTACCGAGAAAGAGTTGCCTTCTTGTGAATTTATAGGCCACCCAATGGTTGGAGGAAGGAGGACGCTAGTGGAGGCGGATTTTCTTCACCTGTCGTCGTTTTTGGATGTTGCCAACCAAATAGAAGTGGGAGTAGACTGATTTCATTTGAAACTGGTCGTATTCCAGGACCGAGATGTGTCTATAATTTTTTCTTTTAGTCACGAAGGTGGTTTAAAATGTTGGGGTGTCACAAACTGAATGAATCTCAGTTGAGCAAAACATGTTAGTGGTTTTGATTTATGCAAACACGAAAACAGGATGGCCTGTGCTTTAATTTTCAAGAACATTATCTGAGCGTGTCCCTTCCCCGAACATTTTTACTAACTGGTACCGATGATAATACATATCCACCATTTATCAAATTTATTGGTTTGTAAGCTATCTCTGGATGACTTGCGAGTTTTCTGAGCATCATCATAAGAATATAAAAAATACATCTGGGTTTAGGTTGATGTGAACTTATATACCTGTGGGTCGGCATTGTTTGTTGGATGAACCTCCAATGATATTGCGAAGAGCGTACCGGGTATGGCAGCGACGAGCTGGACGGTCATCTTCTCCGTTATCTTCTTCTTCCTCTTCTTCTAAAAGATAAGGTAATGAATAGTCAAGGACTTGAGCGAATGAAAATACAAATAATGATAACGACGAAAGAACTACCAGTGATCATGTAACGATAACGGTTATGGTAGCGTAAACGACGAGATGAGAAAGACAACCAAAAGCAATGACAAATGATGAATATATCATTGGTAATGGCAATAGCAATAACAATGGCAGTGGCAACCGAAGTGGGTATTGCAATGCCAATGAAAATGGCAGCAGCAGCCACAGTGGGAATGGCAGTGGAAGTGACAATGACAGTAGTACTGGTAGTGGCAGTGGAAGTGACAGTGATAGTGATAGTGGCAGTGGCAATGAAAATGGCAATGGGAACTATCGCAATGGCAGCTGCAATGGTAGCTTTAATGGCAATGGCAATGTCGATAGCGATGGCTGTGGCATTGGCAATGGTAATAACAATAATAATAGGAAATTTGGAGTGGCAAAGGCATTGCCAAAGGCGAAGACAATTGCAATGCCTTTGGCTTATGGAATTGGATTAGCTATGCAGTTTCCAATATCCAGTGATAATGACCACAGCAAGGATAATTGTAACGGAATTGGCAATGAAAATTATTATAATAGTCGTTTGTTTTTAAACTTGGGATGGGCATGCGGCTTTTGGAGAGACTGAGTATGGGAAGAAAAACGAATGCCCTGCCTTTTTTTTAGCTTTTTACTCACCAGTTTTTATTTCAGGCTTTTGATCGACTTTTGGAAGAAGATTTTTCTTATGTTCCAACTCGTTGTTTTCCTTCCTCTCACTTACTGTCGAATCTGAAAAAACCAGACAAAGTAGCGCTCTAAGTGACAAAGATGTTTCATTACCTCGATGAACGGAAACATATCTGTTTTGGTTATATGAACTACAGCATATACTGTGCGCTTTGAAAAAAGTGATCTATGCCTGCGAGGCCTGACAGGGCACGGTCCAGTTTTGCCTTTTATTTATCAAATCCGACAAGTAGTTATTTCTTCCTTTCCTCTTTGTCCATTTATTCGAAAATTCGAAATTTCATCCACCATCGAGCATCGAGAAGACACTCTCTAGCGAATGACTTTTTCAATTCTATTTCCTGGATAGTTAATTGAACTTGTTAAGAGTACTTACGACTTGCTCAATTCTAAGGGTTAAAGGATTTAACATAATCATAGCAAAAATTTTTTTCTTAGAACCATCTGACAAACCTCTGGGTTCTCCATGTTGAATCTCCATGGGAGGTGTTGGCTCTCTCTCTTTGCTATTAAAATTTCCTTCATTCAAAATATTTAGGTCATGAGATGGCATTTGCTGTGGTTGGCTGGCTATTGCTTGAATCGCAGGGGAAAATTTTTGTACGAAATCCGGCTCAGGTTCTGGTGTAGGAGGCGTTTGGAAAGTATTCACTCCAACTTGCGCACCGAGATCTGTCTGCGGGTTATATAATGAATCAACAAGGCTGCCATTTTCGTCCGGTATATCAGACAAAATGGACAAATCCAAGGGACCAGTGGGAAATTCTTCTTCAAAATTTAAAGGATAAGGATTCATTAGGCTCCACAAGTGCTGCAAGTCATTATCGAGGATATCACTTGGTACAGGGCAGATGGACAGATTTTCATGTGCATGATGTACTGGAGGGAAAGTTGCCATGGTAGCCATTGAAGAATACGAAGAAGCAGAAGTGTGACCTCAAAAGACTAGAATCGAATAAAGACAACGTTTGGTAAACATGATCACTGAAACCATTGGTAAACAGGGATGGTAGCTGTTTGTCTGTAGCTCTTAGAAAAAAATGTGACACTCGTAAGGGTTCATGCAAAAGGTTGCCACGGTAACGCCAAATTGCATTATAAACGGATCAAGAGGACGATAGGACTTTCTGCTTTAGTAGTATAGTAGTTGGGGGTGGGAGCGCAGTTTCAAAAAAACTGCGCTCCAACCACCCAGCTACTATTCTACTGGGAGACGATGTAACCATGTCATGCCGACACAAAATGCGCTCATAAAGTAGTTTAAATATATTGAGGAAACATGTTCGATGTGACCATGTCACCCCAACACAAAATGCGCCAATAATATGTAAGAATTCCGAGAAATGTTTTCATAGTATGGTTATCGAATATTAAAAAAAAATTTTTCTCGGAATTCTTTCTCTTTCGTTATACTATAGCCATTTTTTGAGCATATTTCGTGTTGGCGTGACATGGTTACATCGAACGTCTCCCAGTAGAATAGTGGTTTGTGGTTGGCGCGCAGCTTTTTTGAAACTGCGCTCCCACCCCCAACTACTATACTTGCTTTTTTCCAGCTTGGAGGAAATTGGCTGAAAATTACTCATCAATTAATCTTCCTAGTACTGTTTCGTCAACCTCCATCTATGCAGAATTACGGTATTCGTCAAATGATCGATGGAAGGCTGAATAGGATAATATTTACAATTTTCGTGCCCTAGAAAACTATTCGATGTTTATGATAAATTTGAGAAAAATAATTTACGCCGTCTTCATCTTTCGGTAACCAAGGCATTTTGTATCGCCGAATGTTTTATCTTCCGCGTTCACGAAACGTTTTCACGTCATCAGTTGTTCCTGTTCCAATATTTCAGAATAACTAAATAACATCAAAATCAGGAAGCGAACTTTTCATTCTTAAAAGGCTGTTTCAGCACTATGGTTGAAAATAGCAGAGCTATTTGATGTGGGTAGTCATCTCTGTCTTTATTGTCCAAATTCATTTCATGCATCTTAAATCCATTGACGTTGCAAACCGATAAAAAATTCGAAAGAGCATCAAAACTTGACCGCGTTGTCGACTTTCGATAATTGGTTGATTGATTGACTACTTCAAAGCATCTTACATTTTCCCTTCTTTATCGGTAAAATTTGCGTGAAACCTTTCATGATATCACCGAGTAAACGTGCTTGTGCGAGAAAGAGAAATTATAGTCCCGATGTTGTTGAAACTATTGTCTTATCAGCCAATTACTCACATTCACGGTTCATGCCTCGAAATTTAAAGGACCTTTCAAGTTTGAAATTTTTAATTACTTATTGCGTTCTTCGCCATCTTAGGACTACCCCCGTTTTTCTCTTGACTTAAGTTTACCGCTTTGGTTTTTATCTGTAAAACACCACTCTGGTGTATCCCTCTAAGTAAATGTAACACTCTATGACGTTAACATCGCCCAAAAATATAATAACTCATACCTGACTTAGCAAACGCCCACCATGAAGAATAAAACAGAGCAGATGAAACTTATCGCTTTCGCAACGAGACGCTTTTGATAAGTTCGTCTCAATTTCATAACATCATGTAAGGATTTTCTGACACAAGTCTCTCTGATGCCAGTCAAACAACGTAGTAATATCAAACGCTCTCTAACTAGAAGCCGTCAATATCTCCGTGTAGAGGTATTTAAGCAATTAAACCAAAACCAAAAAGTAACAATAAACTCTTTACAGTTTAAGTTTTTCTGTGCATAATAAAGCTATTTAGGTTTTCATTATGAAACCAAGAGATGAAGCCTGGATGAAGCACACTTTTCACAGGAATGTTTTTGAATGGATTTCATGGCGGTATTTTTTTCTTGAGATTGTGCTAAAAGTTGGCCAATGAATGAGATGAATGAGTTAATAGAAGGAATCATACATATTTTACTTACTAGATGTCTCCTGACGAGTCAAACAAATTTATGCAGTTATTTCGAGATCCTTCCGAGAAGATTCGAAAAAAGAGAGCGTAACATAAACATAACTTGCATTTGAGTCACAGTGTCAGTTATAAAGCCATAGTAATAAGATCGAAACTTTTTTTGACAGAACGTACCTAGACTTCAGCCTGATAATAAACTGTTTCATCCAATAGCTGATTATTGAAAAATGAGCCGTAGGTTATAATTACAATAGATTTATTTTTAAGATGTTGTTCCACTTGGGCGCTTCAGAAGCACGAAGTTCCTGTTTACCGAGAAAGGGAAAATCCCTCTGGGCTGAAAGCAGCCTTTAAGATTCGAATCACAATGGTTGACGTGTGATTTTAAGCCCGATCCTTAATGAAGAATCGAAACCCCTTGCTAATTAATATCATGTTCGATAGTCTGCAGTAGATGATATGTTACAGTGAGAACAGGACTAATTTTCATAAAATTTATTTTGGAAACGGAACTACGGTTCTCAGAACATAGTCAAAGCGGTAAATATACTTTGGCTAACATACAAACATGTTGGATTCGTTTGGGGAAATTGCCAAGACATCACCCAAGCTAGTTTCGAAACTGCTTGGATGTTTACGAGCATAATCTCAAAGTGACGTGCATTTTCTCAACAGTGCATTTATTTCTGTGAACGATTCTTCGTTAATGAATGAACGTCACATTGTATGAAAAGACGCATACTCCATGAAAGTCAAAGTTGAAACTTGCCTGGACAAGCTACTGTGTTGATTCCGACGGTGAAAAACATTTCTAATTGGTTACGAACCACAACAACAATATCTTTTTCTCAGTAGTTAACCTTAATCTTGCTTCGTAAGTCATTTTTATCGTCTACTGTGGCTATATCCTACTTCCGCGTACAAATTTCGGTATCATGCGCTCCGTCATTTTATTCCATCGAAAACATACCAATCAATCAAAATATTTCTGTGGTTAAAATACCTATTCTATGATCCATGATCCATAATCCATGATCCATGATGTCTTCAAGAAACAACCCGATCATTTTTGCGGTTCGAATGCACTTTAATTAAAATGGTAGCGTAAAATACCTCTACCAATAATCATTCAAATTGGTGAAATTGTTTTTATTGAAGGCTGTCGGTATGTCTTGTGTCTGGCACGAGCCCAAGGTTGGTTGAAAGTCTAGTTTTATAGTTTTCGAATTGAGACGAATTTTTAAAGAAACGGTTCTATTTCGGACATGGAAATGACCACAATTCACTTGTTTTTACTATTATTGTCACATAATTATTTTGAGTCATCTGGGTCAGCAATGTGCATTCACTCTTGGAATTCACTCTTGGAATTTGAACTTGGTCGGTCATCGATTAGTTCGCTCTCTGCTTGTAAACGCCATTAAGAGGTTTGTAGGCAGTGAAACTTGCCACAATTCCCCTAAAAGCTTTCAGATACTTCTTCGACATAGAACTACATGTCATACGTCGGAATTCTACGAACCTGAAGCTTCATGGCATATCTTACTCCAACGTCTGGAGCTAAAAAAAAAGATGCTTGTCAATCATGTAAAATCATACAGCTGAGCAGTAACTTCATGCAAAAGTTTCACTTTCACTGGCAGCTGTTCAAGGTGATTCTAGTTAACTTTTAAGCCAATAAAAGAAAACCTTACAAGTGATAGCTTATTCTTAATTGACTTACTTTTAATTTTGTATTCGAGCGAAAGCTACTGAGCAGTTTTCTACCGTCTGGCACTGTTTACCATCCTGTACAAGGAGCTCGATCGAGGTTCTAACTCGTCTGAGGCTGTGAAGACACCCTCGTGTGTCAGCATCGATATGAAAGCTACTGAATAATACTTCCCTGTGGTAGTGTTAATGATGCTCGGTATGGTAATTATCATGTGAATTTCTAGATAAAACTTTAGGATTTGACCAACTTTAACAAAAGCTATGGAAATTTAAGGTCTCTCATGCAGAGCTTGGGGTGTGGACGGTGACTAGAATTTTAGAGTCTACATACGATCCTCGTGTTTGACAAACGAAACGACCTGAGTGTGAAAAATCAGATGAGAGCTGCTGAGCTAGCGCTGCTCGAAGGGAAACTTGAAGGGGAATGAGATACAGAAGCTGGACATGGGAGCAGCTTGACCGACAGAATACAGACGGGAAAACGATAGAAATCAATTGCGTTCCACTGTGGTTGAGGACTTGTGGGCGTAGACGCAAGAGCAAGACTAAGTAACTAACTACTGAGCACTTCTTTCATATGGTACTGTCTTGCTACGTTTTTCAAATTGAATCTTTTGTATCCATCTGCGGATAACACCACGCACCTCTTGCAAAGAGTAGGGAACGCAGTTTTTGGTGTTGAGGTCTAGCCTTCATTCCGAAAGTGGGGGCACTCGCAAAACGTCCTTCAAAAATTGTAAACTGCTTGATGTAGTCCGGCCAAAGTTCCCCCGAAAAGTGCTTTAATTTATCTCAGAATACCTTCTTAGTTGTAGAGTTTCTCTAAACTATCGCACTGTACTGTGGGGTAGCGTGTGACCACTCGAATGAAAGCTTGTGGGCAGAACTTTTATACAGTATCCGGTTTCCCAGAGAATACCGGATACCGTATTTCAAAGCTAGTCCAAGAATGAAGCTTGGATCATGTCTGGGTCTAAAGTAATTCATAGGCGTAATCCTTCATCAAACGAAAACAATAGAAACTATGCCAATGGAATTCTGAAAAATATAATCTTTGTTCTCAATTTACATTGGTTCTTTGTTGACCAGTCTAAAATTCCAACAACCCGATATTACTAAAATCCCTTTAAATTTGTCTTCACGTTTAATTGTTAAAGCTAATGGCCTCACTCAATTTTGGAAAAATAATTCTGAGTCTGCTCTACAGCATAGATAACTGGTTTGCAATAGTGTGCTCAAATCTGTTTCATCTTGTGCACTAAATGCAGACGCACAGTCTAATAAAATTCCGATGGTTTGAGCATGAATCATGGAATGTGTTTTACCGATGCGATTGCACAGTTGAATCTTAATTTTTCTTTTAAAACAATTATTTGAGTATATAATATTGTCAAAAACTAGGTATTGTGTATTTCTGTTGTTTTTAGGCTTAGCAGAAATGAAATACAAAGTCACAAATTATGGAAACTTACGCGTTTTTGTGGAAGCGGGGTTTAGACTGCTGAAAATCCGAACGCAAAACCGGAAGTTTAAAGGTAACTACGAACGATCATTGCAATAGACCGAAATCAATGTTAGATTCTTTTCTTCTTGCAACCCATAAGGATAGCAATAAAATCTAGTAATTATGTGCTGTAGTATTGAGTTTGAATAGCAATTATTTATATCTAATTCAAAAAACAATAACAGATTACCCAAAATAGTCAAAAGTGTTATATGCAAATTGATTCGATTGCTGCACGTCGTTGCCAGTTCGGATGCATTTTGAAAAGGAAAAAAAGTAGCAGTTATGTAAATGCACACAGAAATGATAATATTTTATTTGTTGAAGGAATTCCCTGAGAAAGTCAGAACTCGATGGAAGAAAGTATCAGCGAATTCTTTGATCGAAAAGATCGCTGTCAGTGATGTCACCAGTCTCATGCTCCCACGACCTTATTAAATATTGTTCCTGATCACACCTAGTAATTACACGGAGACCATTGACGTAATGTTGAATTGTATGATTGTCTTTCCCTCTTCACTTTCGACCGGTCTTTCAACGAGTAACATAATTTTTGTTATGCGAAGAAACAATCAGAATATAATTTACGGGTGGTCGCAGGACACAATTAAACTTGGTTAGGATTTGCGGATTTCGCTTTGGGAACACGTATAGGCCTGTCCGATGACCCCTCAGGCAACGAAAACTTTAAAACTCCGCAGAGAGGTTGATATTGCAAACCTGTAAAACAGTTACATTGATAGAAAAAACCTTGACATTAAGTTAGAACTCAATGCGATCAGTAGAGATATCGCTGAGATCATTACATTGAACATCGCTCGATCCTTGAAAACTATTACGTGTAATAACAAAGTTAAATGCACTACAGGTTACAATACATTGCATGTAGAGCCATCAACCGGGTGAAATTATCTAACTGCACATACTTCTAGTACGCAAAGTTGCTTACCTACACCGGCTGCGAAATTCTGCACCACTTACTTTTTGTAATCGCCGGGATAAAATAACTTCGGCTTACAGTCGTCACTCGATTCTCGACGGTAATTCCGAAATAATTTCAACCAGTTGAGTCTATCGCTGTCTTCTTGAATTCCAAGAAAAGTTAAATCTGAGAAATTTAGATGTAAACCCTTTGCTAACCGAAATAAACGGTAGAAAAGCGGTTATTAGGAAGAAATACGTTGCATAGCGCAGCCGACTGTCTGCACAGACCTCCGTCACGCATGTATGACATGTAATTTTTTTAGGGTCAAATTGAAGGTTGTATAATTTCTCTAATTTATTTATGTTTAAACTTTGGTGTAAATGCCTCATCAGGTTAATTAACTTGACTAAAAATTATACCGCTATCTGACAAAAGTTTGAACGGGCTTCAGAAAGATATAATAGAGAAAGACAAACAGTATTAAATGTGGAATTCATATAACATTTAGCATTCTTGTTTGTATTATTTTGTATTAAGCGCTTGGGAAAGTTTAAGCTCTGTGAAAAGTAAAGTTTACAGACTTCTGTTGTCTCTTAATCACGATAGACAGCTGAGAGCATTTGCATTTAAACTTAAACATATTCATTTAGTGTCGTGGGAAAGGTGCAAAAAAAAACCCAGTGGACTGAAGGTTTCGATTAAGATATTATACAATCTGACCTTCTTTGAGATTCACTTAGTCGAGAATTTTAAATCTGGTATTGCTTTCCTTTGATTGACAAGTTCACTTTCTTCCGGTTTTTAAAGATGATGTCGTCTTTTTAAAAATAGCCAAAAAAACATGCGTTTTTTAATGTCAAGTCACAAGGTTGCATTCCGAGCGAGATCATGGTGGATGCATCAGCCTTTCAGCAATGTGTAAGCGCTCCGCATGACTTCCTCGCAACATGACAGTAAGTGGTTTTAAACGCAACGCAACAGAACATATGCCAAGACCCTTTTAACTGATTTATCTTTCGTCTGAAATAGGTTGGGAGCACATTAGCAACTGGCAATTGGTATCGAAACAAATGAAGTCTTTCGCGTGCAGGTTTAGCTCCATTGAAAGCAAATTCTTTAGCTTTGTGGTTGTCCTGAGGTTAACTTGAATGACCTCGTTTCAGTTGATAATCAGAACAAAAGTCCCTTAATTCAATAGACTTATGAAGTGTAACTTCAGTGCAAAGCAAACATTCAGCATAACTTTCGAAGCCAAATGCAATTTTTTACATCCTGTTTAGAATAGATCGAGATTGAAAGCTGTTTAAGTGGTCTAAGAATATTAAATACTCTGCCTCGAACACCATACTGGAACTAATGCTGGACATCGTTTAAGCTTGAATGAATTCGGTTGAATTCACCAATCTTTTAGTTTTGAAATAAACGTCCTCGCAATTGCCTGCCACTGAAATTCAACATTTCGCATTCATAGATTAAAATCTCGAGTTATCGCACCCATTTGACGATTGTTATTAGTTGCTGAAGAAGACAAGGTATTTGTGAAATTGTAAGAACTAAGTAAACAGAGCCCTCAAGCGGAGCCTTGAATGACAAATGTAAGTTAATTCCATGTTAGAGAGAGAAATGTTCTTCGATAGAATTCGATTTTGCTTTTCTTAAAGGAACAAAGCTGTAACATTTTCAAATCCCGAGGGTGCAGAATTAATACTGTTTGCCAAAATATTTGTGGCACATCACATTACACAAGACAACTGTCATAAATCTGAAGTATGATTGTTATCCATCTTTGAATGAATTAAAATGCACTTTTAGGAACTCACTTTTAGGAATTAGCTCTTTCACGAAAACAGCGCACGATTTCTTAAAAAAATATAGCGTCGAACCAAAGTTAGTTAAATTTGAACTAGACAGCGAAACTGTTAAAGCTGGTTTCAGACAATTGAAATGATACGTGACCATTTGATTTCAGAAACTTTGATCAGTCTGGATAAATAGCAAGAGATTTTTTACCCTGCTAAGCCGTTGGAAATTCTTTTCAGAGCCATAAAACTCACTCTCTGCATTTCTATAAACCAAAGAGTGATAAAAAAAGAATAGTCGAAGAGAGCTGAGAGCTAAACTGAACAATAATAAAGAAAAATGTTTGTAAAAAATTGTCAGAAATTCAATCAAAAGTGTTTTGGAGCCAATTTTGACCCTGCTGCTCAACCTGGTGATATAATGTTGGCAACTCAAGGATATGAAAAGCAAAGCCAAGCATTAAAAGTTGATAAATTTGAACATATTTGTTCAATATATCATTATCTAATGTTGCATGCTGAAATTTAATTGTTTGAAATTCATTGTTATAATCATAATAGCTCTAATGTTAAAAAGTTCTTCAATCACTTGAATTTTATGAAATGTTTAATAGATATCTATCTATACTTTTTAATCTGTTAATTGCCATCTGAAACGCCGTGCATACCGGACTTTAGAAGATGATGTTTATTATAAATCACGATTAAACCTTCAATGCTACTCAAAATTCTCGGTTATCTTAAAAAAAAAAAAGATCATACATGCGGCGTAGAATCGGTTTGGCAAAATCTATTCATGTATTTGCACAAAACTGGAATCTGTTTCCTTTATTCGTGTTGAAACTTGTTCAAAAGAGGCCTGTGCTTGACCTGCACTTGCTAAGAGTAGATCAGTTCGAATCAGGGGTTCTTGTTCCTTCCTGTTACCACGTCACCGTATTCTACAGATCAATCCTACAGCAATGGCACTAAAATCTTAGGCACCAAAGTCAAAGTTTAAAAGGGTTGAAAAACTTTAACTCTAAATTTAAACTGATGTCAGTTATCGTAAACAAATCAAGTGCCTCCTCAAATGGTTTAGCATTTGTGGAGCTCTTTTACTGATGTATGCTCTGTAACGAGGTCTGAATGGCCGGGTTCAATATCTTTGACACAGGATAGATCTCGTGCCAAACGGCAATGTCATTTCAGATCCATGCTCTTATTGGTAAAAAAGTAACCAATGAAAATAGGTTCCGTGGATACTTTGGGCTCTTGCATTTTTTGATCGAAGAGAGCGGTCCCTGCAAGCTGTAAAAGAGCTTTTGACCGAATAGACACTCATAATAAATCTTTTTCAATTGAAGCCCAAATCGACTCTGCTATGTCGAATAACTTTACCAGTCAGCTGATTTGGTTCTATTTGAACGTCAAATTAAAAAAAAAACTGGCAGTGCGGATTTATACGATTCAGACAGGTTAAATTGAAGCACAAAGCCTTAAATCGACCCTTGGTAAATTTTTTGATTACGAAGACAAACAAACTTAAACCGTTAAGCTACTCTGCAGGAAGTTCATTGCGTGAAAAGAGGTGGAAAAGACACGAGAGTTTTTTATTCATAACTTATCTCTACCATGATCTTTTTATAAGAATCTCATCATATGAGCAAGCATTAATGGGTCTGGATAAAAAGCTGTGGTAATAGATTATCGTAGGGCGTGTTTTATTCTCTTTAAGCTCAATAACGGCAAAAGGGATCTTTAACTCAAAGCAAAGTTCACTAAAATCACAGTAAGCCCAAAATGTTCAACGTCTCACATACTTGTTTGCGCGATTAATTAAGCATAACCACAGTTGCATGGATGATATCGAGACTTACCTCGAGCGAATAAAACTAGATAGATCACCACACCACCTGAGCTCTACTACCAGCTGAGACAATGAATGAACGAGCTACCTAACATCCGTCTATTAAGCATGCAAGAGAAAAATGCTAGAAATTTTGGAATAAGCAGTCTTCCAGCGCCCTATTTCCTTTTTTAGCCAATTGTGACAAGAGCGTTTACTTATCTCTCTACTATAGTCACTGCGTGTTCCAACGTATTCCCTTGCGGAAGTTGCTAGGGGAAACGAATTTTGTCCCTCAGGCAGCCCCTTTAATTTGCCTCTGTTTAAATTTTTTATCAAATTATGATTATTTCCGCTGATTTCTTGCCACGCGTTTGCTATGACACATTGCACCTTACTTCGTGCGCTTGTATTTGTTGAAGAGATTCTTTTTTTAGAAGTCAGAGCAAAAGAGTATTAAGTTTTTTGAGGTGCATATTACGAATAGAAGAGATGTGTGGGTTAATTAAGCTGTCAAGATAGATTCAATATCAGTAAATAACTTTGGTTAGATCAGATTACACAGTGAAAATGTAAATGTAAATTTAATTTCAAAAAATTCAATACAAGCCCCTTGCTGAGTTATTGAATTTGTAGCAGGTGTTGGAAGTTTACGAATAAGGCTAATGTCTATTTCGTGTGAGCCTATCACATTTGCATGGTTGAATAAGGTTAAAGGGCTTGTTCTGAATATGGCGATAAACATTTTCTTTATATTTCTTCCCAGTGAGGACCAGTCTTCAGTGCCATTCTACAGGGGTAAAAGCAAATGTGGACGATAGTAATAACAAACGAATGAGGTTGGCCAAAATCTAGACCTAACGGGACAGATTAGCACTCGTTTTATTTAGGTATTTAAATGAATCAGTCCAATCTGATAAACAGACAGACCATCACAGACGAAACTTACATCTATTTAAATTTTGAAAAGCCAGCCCCAGGGGGAGGGGGTGGAGAGGAACAGAGATTGACCAAAGTAGGGGAGTATGTTAAACCATCACTTGAATAGAACATTGAGAAATAGCTTATATGCAAATGACAATTTATGTTTATAAGAGTGCTACTGGTAAATCTCAGAGCTTACATGATAATCTAACGCAGAAAATAAACCACGCTACATCAAAATAAACGTTTTCCGGGTGTTGGCTTATCACTTTGGGGGAGAGGTGGGGCTGACGTGTTATGTAACAGATGGTCACGTGGCTATAAAATATTTTTTAAATGTAACTAGAAATAGAAAATAAAACTGCGGTGACAAACGTGACGAGGAACACGTATCTCACGAAAATATGACTTGGTAACTTGACATTTCATGTGTGCTTTGTTTGTCTGTCGAAGTATAGGAGACATCAAGTTTCTAATGTCGTACTTTCGTGTCTACGAGCTTCGGAACGCAGCGTGTTATTTATTTCAACTATAACCCATGTAGCAGAATCTGAGAGTTTAAGGTCAATCAACAATGACAATTTGTGATTTTTGCATGTGCATCATTTACCGCGAAAATACAGGCTCAAGAAAGTTGGAACCTTGTCTTAGACAGTTTGTACCCATTGTAGAGAGTTAATTTCCTCAAGATCACAACACAAAGACACTGCAGTACGAAACCTAATACACTGATAATCTCTTT